AAAATTGATCTGAATAATCAAGACAAAAACATTAATATTTCAAGAGCAAAATAAGTAATTATGTCACTATTAAGATATAAAACTAATCTATGCTTATGTGATTACCAGGTTATGTATGTAATTAAAAGTTATTTATTAAAAATTTTAATGATACAAAAATCACACACACTTTATACATCTTAATTTTACCCTTAACACTGATATTGTGGTTACATTATATTTCAGTTATCAATTCTCATTATAGTATGCTTATGTAACCAAGGCTTAACAACAATATCGATTCCATTCCCATTATTTTACTTGAGAAGTCAAGGAAAACAATATTACAATAATAATTACAAAACACTTTCATGCTAGTACACAGACTTGCCTGCTGGAAACCACTCCATCTTCATACTTTAACTGTTCAATTTACGTGAATATCACCTATGGAATATAACTTGGGAAGAACGTAATTATCAAAAGAAGACACCAAGCCTGGAAGACTATCTAGTGCTGTCTGTGTTACAGGATAATCACAATTCCTAAAATGCCAATACAAAAGCAAAAAGACACGAGGTGAGTGATGTCACAGTCATCATATTCTCCGAGGATTTTATCAAAGAATATTGGGGAAACAAGATTACAGTCATCTAGAAAATCAGCAAACTGAGGAAATGAGAGTCTGTTAATGAAAAAATGCAGTTTTGACATTAACATGCAGGTCTCTGTTCCATAAGGTGGCCACGAGTTATTCATGTGTGGCCAAATATGTAGCCTCGCCATAGACAGTTACCATGATTTTTTACGGTGATAAGAGGAAGGCCACAGCGTTAGGTCACATTTAAATGCATGTGATTTGTTCTTCATAAGAACATAAGAATGAAGGTAATTGTAAAGGGCTTATTGGTCCACATGAAGCAGTTTCTATTTATATCAACCCAAACTCATTCCTATATATATACAGTATGCATAACCTATGCTCGAAAGGATCTAGTGATCCCACATCTATTTTGTTATCTGGTAATTTGTTCCATACATCAACTACCTTATTTCCAAATCAGTATTTACCAGTCTTTCCTGAATCTAAACTCATACAATTTTTATCCATTGTTTCGCATACTATTTTGTGTAGGTATACTTAAAACCTTATTTATACTTACTGTTATACAATTTCATACATACAGTACATATACTTCAATCCTTTCACCCCTTACTCTTTGTTTTTCTAGAGAATGTAAATTAAGCCTTTTTAATCCCTCTCTTTAAAAGGGAGGTTTCTAATTCTTGGGATTAACTTTGTCATATTTCTATGTATCACTTAAAATTGGTATATTATTTGCTACATTTCTTGAACAATCCATATACTGTACTATATGCTAGCTTACTTCTCATTCAGTAATAAAATCAATAAATAATTAAATTGATTTAAGTTATGGTCAAAATGCTTATTCAACCTAACCATTGAATTGCGCTTTAATTTAAATTGACAATCCCATTATGTCCATAAAAAACAATTCACAAAAATATTTTTCATTCTAATATTGTTAACATGCATTCTCTGATCAAAGGAAACTGAAAAAAGTATTGCACGTGACAATTTGGCCACGATGGGGTGAGGAAGTTTGGCAATATTCAGGCGTTGAGAGAATATTCACCAGCAGCGGTGTGCTTCAGCCCAGCAGTGCGACGGGTTGACACAAATACTGTACATTTGTACGTAATTACTGTATTTCAATGTCTTTGAATGGTTTTTTTATCTATTTTTTGGCAGTAATATTATTCATTACTGTGTAATTTGAGAATATTATATAGCTAAATGTGTAGAACATCGCTATGCTAAAAAATATGGTGCTCATATCTAGTGTTACATATATTATATTCTTGTATCAATAAAACAGTATTTTTGCTGTTATTATACTATATACTGATATATAGGCTCAGTACATAGTGCAATATATACTGAGGCTAGCTAGTATTCTCCTCTCCCATCTGTTAAATATCTACAAGAAGCAAAGTTATATTTTATGTCACTTAAAAGGAGGCGAGAGCCCACAGAATAAATATATTTCCATTTTAGATCCGAATGAGAGTAGGCGAGAGAGCGGCTCATCCACAAGATCATGGAGCAGCTCAAGGTGGGAGGTCATTTTCCTGCCAAGAGATACTAGGGGTATGTGTCATGGTGCTTGCTTGCAAAAGATGTGACTGGTCAGTTGCAGGGGCATAGCCAGGTTGATTAATCAAGTAAGCGCCTCAGGCGTGTAGTGGCATGATGTCAGGTGCCCCTGCGTTGGAGGTGAGAAAGCCATACTCACTTGCCACCAGGAGAGACAGTGACCAGGTGTGTCACTTGATGGTCCTTTGATTTGGAGTGAGGTAAGCCTCCAGAACGTAATCAAAAGCAGTGCTCGAGAGGCAAAGAGGAGGAGATACAGGTCAGCTTCTGAGGAAGTGTAGAGGAGCTGGTCAATGATAGGAGTTCACAAGAGGCTCAACAACGGCAGAGCTCCAGTTTGTCTCGAGAGGCAACGCTAGTGGTCGAGGCTCAACACGTGGGCTGTTCCAAGAGGTGGAACTGCATTGGGAGACTCGATGGAAAGTCTTGGTCTGGGTGTAGCAGTAATAACGACTCCAGGGAAGCAAGCAATTATATTACAAGTCTCTACAGTAGAAGAGAGAAAGACTAGTATCCCAGCATGGAGCAACTAGTGGAGGTTGGGTAACATTTGCTACCTCCTGGTGCAATCAACGGAGGAAATCAGTGGTCAGGAGTAGCATACCTGACTTGAGAAGAGACCTACCGAGGAATTATAGAAGAGACACCAACAGAAGAAGAGGCCTATTTCATATGCGCAGAGTTCTGGACGGATATTCAACCCACCACAATGTGCTATAAAGTCTGCAGAGTCCAGGCTCTGTCATTAAGGTAGATCATTTACCTGCTTGCTGTTAAAAAGCATTTATTAAATACAGTATTATAAGAATATGAGGTAAGATTTATTTTTAGGTGAAAGGCCCTGTTATGGTGATATTGGACTAAGAGTAAACTTTGTGCATTATTCTTCAAGACTGAGGATCTAGGCTATTTGTTCATTATTTGTGAGGAGTTACAGTGTACATATATTAGTTAAGTAAAGTGACAAGTGGCCTGATGCATGAATAAACATTTAAAGAGGAGGAGAGAGCCTAGCAAATAGTCGCCTAAAAAGCGACGGTTGGAGTGTTGCCAGAGTATCATTGACTTTTGTGAAGGTGTGTTGCCATCTATAAAATATTTGCGTTATTTGCAGGCCATAACTGTGTATCTTTAATTCTAGTAAATGGTTAAAATAATTTATTGTGGTGTTCGTATCAACTCCTCCATTCTCCATTATGTTTGTCTGAGGTGAAACTGAGCAAGTAGGAGGCTGGAACGTTTATACCACTGTGATTAGAGGAACTTATCTGGCCTTAAATGAGCAAAGGGCAGATTAGCGACCTTAGGCGGTTTTTACCTTTCTAGCGGGCAAGTCGGCCTAGCAGAGCCTAGTTCTTTGTGACTAAGCACACTGGATAAAAAATATAGAGAACGGCTGGCTTACCTTACTCATCACGGGAACAAGGAACTATAACTCCGAGGGCAACTAAGGTGCTCCCCCTGGGTGGACAGTGGCATTGAGAGAGTGGAAGGAAGACCTGGAGGTGAGAATGCTAAAGTGAGAGTGCACTACAGCTCTAGTGTACTACTACTACTAGTACTTATTTACCCCACCTTTTACCACAACCTCAAAAATATGGTGCTTATATCTAGTGATACATATATTATATTCTTAGATCAATAAAACAGTGTTTTTGCTGTTATTACTCTATATATACACATATACTTATGTATATTTTTATAAAGCATAACGAACCACCAAGTAATTCTGGTGTGTGTGGTAATGAAATCTTAACACAGTACAGAGCTGGGTGCTACGACCAACTGACTCCAGCAGTTTACAGAAGCTCTCATTGTCAGACATCATCTGACAGACCAAATTACCCTGAAACTACACACACTGCTATTATTACTACAACACTGCTATTATCATAAGATTCCTGTTACTAAATCATGAATATGAATAACTTTCCAATGGAACATGAGGTCACGTTGCATGATGCGTAAATTCATGAAACCTCAGCTGCTTACTGTGAATGTATGCCTCCTGCTGTGAACATCAAAATTATCAATGTGTTCAATGATATCTGAACCTTGTACATAATTTTTATTACAGTCAAGATCATCTATGACATCCATGCCAAGTCATGTAGGAATAACAGGAAATGACATTGCAGATGAAGCTGCAAAACTTGCAACTAAGAGAAGAAATGTAGACATTTACATACCACAGAGTCTATCACAGATTAAGAAAGTACAGTGTAGTTAGAAACAGAGCAATGCAAAAGATGTACAGTGACCACAACACAACAGTTGCAACATTAGGATCTGTGGGTTGGTACAAGAATTCAACCAACTACGAACCACTTAGTTTGATGAAAGGGAACAGTAGAACAACAGAAGTACACTTACATCGCATCAGGCTTGGATACCCATGTGCATGGGAAATAGGCTTACAGGTTCCGGAAGATGAGAGGAAACGTCAGCACTGTGGAGAAATGTCCAACAGACCACTGGAACAATATCTAACACAGTACAGACTTACAAACCCACTAAGATTTCAATTTTGATTCAACAGAGCAGAAGTTGTTAAACACATGGGACAAAATCTTACTGAGGCACCCACACGAGTCATAAATACTCATACACCGCCCAAGTAAAACAGAAACAAGCAACACTTAGTGGGCCAGCCAGAGGCTTAGGGCCCGTGCAGGAATATCCCTAAAAATAAAGAAAGAGAGAGAGAGAGAAAAAAAAACTCATAAAATAATTGCTGTTACCAATTTTATTCATTATTAAGTGGTTCTGTGGCCCCCAACTTGTGTAGTTGTGCTGTGAGCTCCTGCTGCATATACTAGCCTGGGTCGCTCCGGCAGTATTGAGACACTCACAGCCAGGAAGGAGGCAGACCATTTTTTTTCAAGATGGTGTCTGTTTACTGGAGTCCTGAGGAATAAGATACGAGCCTCGTGTACTCGAGGGAATTTTGAATCGTTCACAATACCTAAAAACACATTGAGGTGCTATGTGCATCACCAGTTCAGCATCTTAAGGTAATATGCACAATACAGGGGTTAAGATAGCACACCCAATTTTATGAGCCTCTACCTCTCTAATCATTCTTTCATAAGGAACGGTGTCAAAAGTTCTGCTAAAGTCAAAGGACATAATGTTGCAATCTTTTCCACTGTCAAATGCTTCAATCAAGCAGGCACAATATGCAAAAGTGGCATTAGTTTGCTGTTGAATCAACGTTAATGACTTTGGCTCTCCACGAAGAGATTGAGGAGCCCACCAGGAGCCAGCCTTTTCGTACATTCAACACTGGATTTTTTTGCAATATGGAGGGGTGAGTATGCTTACCATGAGGAAATGGGTGAATGTATGTACAAGGAAAATGGAATGTCCCTGACATTCTAAGATAGTCTGAATACAAGCAAGGTCTTTAAAATTCCCCTGCCACGAACAGAAAGATTGGGGTGTGAAAATGATGGAACCTATATGTGCACAGTCACGCATTCTTGGTGGCCGTAATCACTACGTCTGTAACACAAAGCAGGGCAACAAAAAAATCCCTATTACTGAGAATGATTTTCCATAACATGTATGCCACACTGTTTGGGAATGAAGATAACATTACAGCCCCCAGACTGAAGATCATTAAACTAGAAAAGGTGCAAGACGTGCAACTACATGGCTTCTGGAACTGAAAAACAAGAGCTACGAGGAGAGGTTAGAGGCATTAAATGTACCAAAGCCAGAATATAGAAGAAAAAGAGGCAATATGATCATTATGTACAAAATAATAACATTCAACAAAATTCAACAAAATTGACAATGAAGAATTTTTGAAAACTGCAATTTATAGAACAAGAGGACATAGGTTGAATCTAAGGAAGCAAAGCTGACGAAAAAACATTAAAATGTTCACTTTCGCAGTGGTAGGCAGCTGGAATAAGTGAGATGATGGAGACCAAAACCGTTGGTAGTTTCAAAATGTTATATTATGAAGAGTATTAGGAAGAAGGGACACCATGAGCATATCTCTCATCCTCTCATCTCCTCACTTAGGTAATTACATGTAGTAGATGAACAACTGTATGCTCACCAGTAAAATTGAGACAAAACTATTTGGTCCAAGTAGGTGGACCAAACATACCATCAAATGAGGGTGAGAGGTGAGAGAGCAGAACTGAGGGTGAGGAAGACACCACCACCTGACAGGACTAGTGAAACAAATATACTGAAGTGTCAGAACCTTCATTGAAGAACTGATCGGTAACTAAGAGCTTGGCACACCAGGTTACAGAATACTAGCTATAACAACACACACACAGCAGAAAAGGGCTGGAAAAGGACTAATAGGGGCATAACAAAGTCAGATGGCTCCTCTCTAAGATAGACAGGAGCACACTTTCCAGAAAGGCCTGACTTGTCCTGGTTGCCCGCCACATGAGTCTTACAGGTTGAGGAAAGAGAATGCATTAAATAAAAAGTATACTGTATTACAGTTCATTTTCTTGCATCTCCACCCACCACAGAGCCCAACAAGGGGAGGCATAAGTACCAAAGGCAATGCCAGGGGTAACAGTACAAGAACAAATCCACAAGGGCCGTGACGAAGATTTGAACATGCGTCCAGGAGCATCCCAGACACTGCCTTGACTGTTCATTTGATGCATCACGTTAGTGCGATCTCTGTGTGTAATGAAGTAACAGTACAAGTATACACAGGTAACCAGAGGAGTCTGCATGGCAACCCAGAGACCAATAGGAAAGCCAAAGGTGGCCACCTATTCCTCAAAATCAACAGATGTCCTGGTCTCAGTCCTTGCCTCAAAATGGACCAATGGACTTTGGCAGGGTTGTTGGTTCCCCTTTCAGTCTTGTCTGGAATGGTCACCAACATTTCCAGTCATAATGGACCAAGTTCCCAAAATTTTATCCTTTTGGAACAATGTCCTGCCCACCTGTGAAAAAACCAACCCTACAATGCCCACTTGATTCAAATCCAGCTAGGGCCCACTAGCTAGAAAAACAGATTTGTTTAGTTGGGTCCCACAGAATCTCCTATTTTACCCCATCTCTTTATCAAAGAAGCATGGTTGCCCTGTAGAAGCAGCACCACCCATTGAGTAGGTTGATTCTCAAGATGAAGGGAAACAAGAAATATTTATATATGGGATTCTATATATGTCAAACACATGGGTAGCGAAGCCACAGGCAGCCTTGGTTTTGCTGCTCTTTCAGCAGCAACCCAAAAGAACTCAGCAACAGTGTGTGTTGGACTCAGAGCAATCAAGGTCTACTACCATAATAGGGTAGTTACCATGTCGGGATTACTTAGGAACATGCACACAGATGTAGTATCTAAATTAAAGGCCTCATTTCTGTTAATGGTAGTCTGCAGCTCTTACACACTTGTACTGCAAGCCTGCTGTTTTAGTGCTCATTTGAGGTAATCTTTCATTCACTGCTATGCACGTTTTTTTTGTTTTTGTTTTTTAGGGAAACAACTTGGAAAATATTAGGACTGGTTCCAAATTCCAAATGAGACCAGAAGGCATGGCAGGATGTGCAAAATAGCTCCAGTGAAGAGCAGAGGCGCAATAGGCATACCGAGAGGGAACTCTATCAACATCAAAGGCCCAAGACTTTTCAGCACTCTTTCCCCTACAATCATGGGGCATAACTGGCCAACCTCTCGCAGTGTTCAAAAGAGAACTAGACAAACACCTTCAAAGGATACCTAATTAACCAGACTGTGACTCATGCATCAGGCTGTGAACACCCACATCAAATAGCCCGGTGGATCAGACCAGCAACCAGGAGGCCTGGTCAAACACCAGGCCGCAGGGACACTGATCCCCGGAACCTTCAACAAGTAATCAACAGGTAAGTAGTGTCCTTACCTTTTACATGTTCTCCCAATTATCTAAATATTTGGGTTATTGCACTTGCTGAACCTGTCACCATGTTTGCCACATTCTAAAAGCTTAATTTCATAAGCTGGATGATAATGGAAAATGATAAATTTAACAGCAGCTTCCAAGCACTGCATTTAGGATTTAAAAAGAGGAATGTATAACAAACAATACAGCATTTTACACAAAACTTTGGAAGATTATTCTGCAAACAAATTCACATTCTAAATATAATAATTGGTCTACTGGGTAAAGTATATAACAAATAAAGTGCTACAAAAATACAGAAAACTATACAATAATATCACTGTGAAAGTTTAAAGATTATATAATTGATCAATAAGGCAATACATAAAAAGTACATATTTACAAATAAATCAAAATTTTCAAGTTATTTAATGTGCTCTTTAAAACTCGACTGCAAGTATCATCTAGACTTGTTATTAGACTTAACAAATGCCCAAACGTAACAATTTCCTTGAGATGTATTTCAGATTTTCTTTGCACCCAGTTTCATAGGTCCAGCACGAGCTGCTCGCTTGGCCTCTATCTCTCTCTGCCTCTGTTGTTTTTTCTCTTCCCGCTGCCTACGCTGCTCATCTCCCTTCATGCCGGAATTATTAAGCACTGAAAATAAAAAACATTTACATAATTCACTATAATAATTGTTACAACAATGCATGCAGAAAGAACAATTTCAAATGACAACGAAGCAGAGTTAAATGTAATGAAATGCCATTTTCTGTGGGAAACCCCGTCACCTCCCTGAAGCTATCTGAAACTTCACTACCTAACTACGCAAAGATAAGTAAAAGGAGGGACTTACCAGGGAGGCGACAGTACTGCAGGTTTCAAGACGAAAAAGAGACAGATGGCAGTGACAGGTGCACCAAAGCCACACATGGCCAGGAAGGAACCGTTCACTAAATACCTGACGGCTTGGACCCTGTTCGACCTCCAAAACCCCCGTGTCCGAATGTCTTCCCAAGAAATGTTGCCAAAAACAGCCACCAGTGCGGCATACATCTGAACGTCATGGGCATGAGGGTAGAACACAAGCTGGCTGGACTTGATGACACTGTGGACAACCTGACACACACGAGCCCTGGAACAGGGAACCAGGGAAACCGGATCCACCGTCACAGAACCAGTGGGCCCAGATAGTGGGGTAAAGCTACCACTGGACACAACAGGTGATGCACCACCGGCCTAACCACCCAAGCATCCACAACCAACGAACCCTTTCAGAAGCCCGCCGTCTCATACTTCGCCAGAAAAGAAAGAGAAGGCTGCTAACAAACAAAATGCCCGAAGGAAGCGGAATCCAGCACAGTGCCTGCCACACCATCGCAAACTTCTGAACCTGCTGTGAGCCCGACAAAAGGACAGCCCCCAACGACCCTGGCCGGATTGGTGAGTGCTGGTCACAAAGCTCCAATCAAGAGATGAGGCATCCGTGAACACATCGAATGAGGGAAGAGGAAGGCACCATGGCACCGAACCCTGAAAAACCCGAAGAGGAAGCCAGCAACGCAAGGACACTGGGATCGAACCTAATGATCACGAGAGCGGCGAAAGAGGCTGCCATGAAGATACTAAAACAGCCTCCAAAATCAAACCCTACCCAGTGGAAAAACCACCAGAGCAAAGTTCAGGCTCCTGCACAGCTGCTCGAGCAACCGCCGTGTGACCTGGGTTCACCCTCAAAAAACAGCCGAAGGACTTGCCCAGACACTATGCGTGCTAGTGGTTTTACAAGAATCTCTTACATATATAAATATATAAAATAAACATAATTCAATCTTACCTAGTGTGTCCTGCTCACCCCATTCATCCCAGTCAGCCTTCACAGAAGTCTTGGTGGGGGAGACGACTTGTGAAGAAGTGCGTGACACAACTCCTCTACTGGCACCCTTGAGAAAAGGAAGTAATGTTAGTTTGCCTTAAATTGTTACACAAATATAATCATTTCACATGTTTATGATGTCGATAAAAATATCCCATATAGAACATCATTTATAGAGACAATTAAAGCAAAGCATAATATAACATACATTAAAACAGCTAGTTTCATTGCAATATTGAACTATAAATTATAAGACTGAAAACTGTCATGTTTAGCTAGTGTTTTTTCCCAATATGAGGTGTTTGAAATTCTGTCTTAACCAAATGGAATAAATATAGTGGTTCATAGCCTAATAAAAATTACACAAACCACAAAGTAAACACTGTCTAGGTACAGACAGCCACGTGCTTTGCGAACGCCATGTATTCAAAACTTCCAGTTTCCCAATTGGGGTTGGTTCGGTTACTTAAGTTCGGGAAGTGCTAGGTTTGCATAAAATAGTTCGGTAACCTCATAGGGCAAGTGTCCGCTAAGCCTCGCGGCCCGGGTGGTGGGTGTTAGATGCCCTAGTTTGCTCACTTACCGTGTCAGGCACCACTCTAGTGCCATCTACCCTCTGACATCACAGATTCACGGCCCATTGTTTTAATTTGTCATGAGACTGGAGCATTCATTCCATGACTTTGTTGGATATACTGTACAGTATCACCAAAATCTAAAAACATCTGCACCAAGTCATCTCCAAATGCACCTATTGTGTCAGTGAAAGTATCAACAAGCAGGATACGTCAAATAAAGAGGTCAGTGATGACTTTCTTCTCAACTTGAGAAGAAAGTTGAAATAATTAAGAAGGTGGAGAGTGGAGTCCCAAGAAGTGTTATGTGCGCTGAATATGGCAGTAGCAAAAGTAGCATTTTTGATCTTCTTAACCACTGTGATGCACCAGATTTATTGTGACACTCTGGCTGAGCAAAGAAATTAAAGTGCTCCAAAAACAGTATTTGTTCTTTTGGTATTGTTAATTAGCACCCAGGAAGCAACAAAAGCCAAGTACAGTCTCTATCTCTTGTAGTTTAGCCATAGTTGCCTGGAGAAGTTGCATTTTTGGGTAAAACTTAGGAGATTTGCCGCATGGGAATAACTTTGTTGATCTATTTTCAATGTTTCTAACTTTATTTTTTATTTTTTGCTTTAGTAAGTTGTTTGTGGCAAAGATGGAGTTCATTATGTATAACTTTGAAAATATATATATATACAGATATATGTGCATAAATACATTAAATACATGCACCCCATGTATTTATTCATACTAAAATATAATATAATATAATATAATATAATATAATATAATATATATATATATATATATATATGTCGTACCTAATAGCCAGAACGCACTTCTCAGCCTACTATTCAAGGCCCGATTTGCCTAATAAGCCAAGTTTTCATGAATTAATGTTTTTTCGTCTACCTAACCTACCTAACCTAACCTAACCTAGCTTTTTTTGGCTACCTAACCTAACCTTACACATAAATATAGGTTAGGTTAGGTTAGGTAGGGTTGGTTAGGTTCGGTCATATATCTACGTTAATTTTAACTCCAATTAAAAAAAATTGACCTCATACATAGAGAAAAGGGTTGCTTTATCATTTCATGAGAAAAAAATTATAGTAAATATATTAATTCAGGAAAACTTGGCTTATTAGGCAAATCGGGCCTTGAATAGTAGGCTGAGAAGTGAGTTCTGGCTACTAGGTACGACATATATATATATATATATATATATATATATATATATATATATATATATAACAAACTGACTGCTTCTCCTATGAAACATCAAGCTCTGGGGGATGGTGACTATGATGGTGTATTGGTTAGCAGTCCAGCATGCTAACCAATACACCATCACCAGATCTTTAAAAAGGATGGTGCATCGGGCGGCTAATCCACGACACTCCGTCCCCAAAGAAACCAGGTACTCTTTTATTAGATATTAGATATCTAATTAGACACATTTTACTAAGAACTAAATACACGTTCTATATTAGACACTAATATAGAGATATTAGACACGTTCTCTTCAAAGCAATCAAATTAACTTGAGAAAACACGAGCCACAATGTAGCACACACTTGCCAGAACACGCAGGTTATATTTAAACAAACCGACTACTTGTCCTATGAAGCATCGAACTCTGGCCAGCCAAGTGGCAGTCTCTTCCTCCCCCTTACACTAACCCCAGCCTCCTCCCACACAAACCCCAGCCACTTTCCCCCCACCCCTCCTATACTAACCCCAGCCTCCTCCCCATCTCTCTCCAACACACCAACCCCAGCCCCTCCCCTAACATACAACATACACACTGACATACCTGGTCACTGATAAGAGAATTAAAAAAGTCATCACTGTCCTCTGGTAGTGAAGCGCTGAAGCTGCTTGACAATGGTGATTTGCTCTCTGCGTTGACAGCAGCTCCAAGTTTGTTATCCTCAATATTACCACCCAGCTGAGTCTAACGACAAACAAGACTTGTAAATACTTGCCTAACTCAAGACACTGATGGTGTGAATGCCTATTATGAGTTATGAGGGTAATGCATATGAAGATGAATTTAAGAAACAGTAATGTTTTTCTCTACAACTCTCCCGTAACACATATCAACAGGTTGGCCAAAACACTTTACCTTATAGTGGCTTCAGTAGTATGTGTAACTCCAGTTACTACAATTGTACATTACTTTGTGTTCTTTGTACACACACTCTTTGGGATAAACATTATTATTATATTATTAAAATATAACCAGTTATAGAGGGGTTCATATACAGTCCATATATAAATGTTTGTTTTTGAAAATTTTGCCTGTGTAACTATGTAACTTAGGTCCAAGCCCAAGTAACTTAGTAACTATGTAAAATTATGTAACTTAGGTCCAAGCCCAAGTAACTTAGTAACTATGTAAAATTATGTAACTTAGGTCCAAGCCCAAGTGCTGGGATTTGCATCGATGTGCAAATGAAGGTTGACAACTTTCATAAACAATTCTATCAAAGCATTATCTGTCAATCATTAATAGGTACATAACTGTCAAGATTAAATCATAAACGTATATTAAATATCAAACTATTTAACTTTCACAATTTGGCAACTATAATGACAACTGAAGATGTTAAATAAAACTGAAGTTATGGTAAGTGAATAACTGTGGTGGCAAGTAGGTACAACACATTACTTTGAGGATTTGAAAATAATGATGATAATAATGATGATGATGATAATGATGATAATGATAATAATGATAATAATGATAATAATGATAATAAAATAATAATAATATTAATAATAATAATCATAAACCAGGATCAAACTACAGTGGTTATTTAGTAAGATCAGTACATTATATGTATACAGTATTTTAAAAACCACTAATTATGCATTGCATTTCAGCAATAAATATCTGAACACAGCATCTTGGAAATACAGTGATTGTAAAGAATAATAAATGAATTTTGAAAAGATAAATGCAAAGTAGGTGTAAATGTGAGAGCTTGGCCCAACAGGCTGTTGCTTGGAGCAGCCTGCAGGCCCACATACCCACCACAGCCCGGTTGGTCCGGCACTCCTTGGAGAAACCTATCTAGTTTTTTCTTGAAGATGTTCACGGTTGTTCCGGCAATATTTCTTATACTCGCTGGGAGGATGTTGAACAACCATGAACCTTTGATGTTTATAGTGTTCTCTGATTGTGCTTATGGCACCCCATATGGCACCAAACACATCCTTTGATTTTGTGGATGGAAGTGGTGGAGTCACCCTTTGTAGTATCCTTGGCCACATGAGCTTCCGATGTTTGATACCTTCAAAGTTTTGGCCATTTTGATGAACATTTCCGAAATTCATGCTCAGGGCTTCTGCAGTTACAACTGGATCTTTCATCACTCACAACTTGGCCAGATTTCCTCACCTGCAGCATCAGTGTGTCCCACCTGGCTGCCTCTCCTCCAGGTAAGTTGCTTCTCTCCTGGGTGTCCTACTGCAACTTTTGGGATCCCACTACTATACAAAGTTCAGGAGTCTACCCAAAACTAGTTTTTTCAGTTTTTTTTTTCTATTTTCTCATTCCCAAATTACACATAGCTCAGGGAGCATCTGCCTAAAAATATCACAATTTAATAAATATGAAAAACTTCATATTCAGATGCTCATATTTCATCCCACCCACCAAGGTCTCAAACCAAGTGTACAGAGTTTGTTCTCTACATCAGTCAGAATGCGATTGGGTTCAAGACAGGGAACTGTTTATTAGACTGGGTGCTGAAATCTTTTGTCAGTTAGGGTCATCAGCCAAGTGTCCCAATTGGCAGTCTGCAAGAGCTCTTCTTGGTGGTCTCTCTGGTGCCATGTGATGCTTGGAAAGTCTTCGAGTGTTTATGAGAACTTTATGTGGTCACCCTGGGCTGGACTTCCTCATCTCGCCAAAGGGATAGTTCAAGTGTCCTGCTCATAAAGGAACTTTTTATATACACTCGGTCTAATTGGTTTTGTCCATAGGCAGACCAGAAAGTGTTAAATGTTCATTGCAACTATTCAGCCTGCAAACATGTTGATCATGTCTCATATTATAATAATAAAAATTGTGATATGCAACTTAATCCTTAAATGGCTCCAATTGCTATCTGCATTTACTTTCTGTGCTCAAACTGCCAAATGCAAGTTATTTTACATTAGATTTGTGAACAAATTATAATATTCACCACAATGTAGGGCTTTTTTTTTATTTAGCAAGCCATTTAAAGATTAAGAAACAACGTTAAATGGCAAACAAAATATAATGTAGGAATCTCAAACACTGAAAATGTGAAAACTAAGCCAGTATGACAATCATACAACAATATTTAGCTAAGAATCAACATGAAGAGTTGAAGACATTGCAAAATGAATAAAGTTGTCCTCACCCCATCTTCTAAGCTTCCCCATTCTTCCTCATCTCCCCACCCATCTCCACCATCCATGCTGTCATCAGCAGCAGCCAGAGCTGAAGACACTGTAGTAGGCTTATCAATAACATTGTTTTTCTTTACCGCTGGAGAGTCATTCTGATAAGAGGTAAAAAAGAATCATGGTCTGTGCTGAAATTCTGGCAGGAACAAGGTAAAATATACACATGAAATAAACATTACTAGACAACACAACTACTGTCATACATTTGCAAGAATTTACAAATTTAATGATAGTAAATTCTGCTTTTACATGACGTGTATAATCATCCTACTACTGAGGACAAAATGTAAACAAACTCTGTTTAATAGGAAAATTACAAATATTCTGATACTTCACCCAATTTCCACATTATCTTTAAACCTTCATTACAATTAAAAATAACAAATGATTCATTGAAGCAAATACATACAACTACAACTAACACGAAATGCTGCATAATACTGGGTTCTTCAAGTCCGGGTCTCGACCCATTACTGGGTCGTAACCACCTACTGACTGGTTTGCAGGTTCACAATAGATAAATAAATTAATAAATAAAAAGTGGAAAAATATTGGCGACAATGAAATAGTTAGGAATTTGAAATATGAATAAATACATAATAATCTTATTATAACCTTTGTCATTAATAATTTATTTATTAAACTATTAAATCATAACACTAATAGTAGCTTTGGCATGGTTGAAAAATGACAACAGAGGATAAATGAAGCAGAGAGGAGAGGGGAAGGTAGGCAGACATGATTCATACGCATACATTACAACGAGTACGTTCTACCCCATCTGTGCCTTTGAAACAAACACAAGTTTAGTTGCATTTGATCTTCAAGTGTGTAAAATGGTTCTTTTTGTTTACTTATATTAAGTTTATGCCCTAATCCTGAGATAAAATGGATTGTTTTGTTAATATAATGAGTGGAGCTGCTGCTCCACTCATTAAGGAGGAGGCATTGTACCAGGAGGCATTAAAGCCTCCTGGTACAAATGAGGAAAGATAAACAGACAGATACACAGAGTGAAAATGTGATGAGAAAGGGAGATGGATCTGCATCCTTCTCTGAACTGCCTACCAAGAAGACAAAAGCCATGGATAAGACAATGCACCAATGAATTTTTGAAGTGTGGTATCACTTCATTAATTGTGGAAAGGAAAAATGAGAACTTAGGTCACAGTGTATTATTTGCAGTGAAGTTCTTGTAAATGAAAGCTTCAAACCATCAAAATCAAAGAATCACCTCGAGACAAAGTGTGCTGAGCTTATTGGAAAACCAGTGGAATACTTTCAGAGATGAAGGTCCAAATGGATTTACTGTACTGTATTAGTGAAAATTCCTAGTAAATCAAGTACTGTTAATGATAAAGTGCAGTTGGTACCCTGTCTAGTTACTAATCAAAAAGCAAAATGGAAAGGGCCATATACCTAGGGTAATTCTTCCAGCTACTGTGGATATAGTGACTATAGTTCTTGCTTAAAAGTCGGCAGATAAGATCAAATGTGTCCCTATCGATGAGGAACACATTTTCTCAAAATTTACAGTTTCTCTGTAAAATAGTGATATTGCAGAAGCCTTAGAATTTCAGCTGGTTTCACATCTCCAGTTTGTTGGAGATTTTGCTATCCAACTAGACGAGAGTACTCACATGTTCATGGAAAGAGGACTTCTTACAGGATTTGCTGAACTGTATTGCTTGACTACACACACAAGTGGGTCAGAGATATTCAGTGATGAATGACTATGAAGTAGTAAAATATAAACTGAGCTGGGCTAGTGGCAAGGGGGGTTACAACTGATGAAGCAGCAAATGTAACAGGTAAAGAAACAGTGGGGTTGTGAGTAAACTATCAATGGAAGCAGGTAATGCGACATCTTGGAATCATTGCTTCATTCACTGTGAAGCTCTGGTTGCTAAAGGCATCCCTGACTGTTTGAGAAATGTTCTAAATGAGTTAGTAGAAGTTGTCTATCTAATCAAAGGAAATTCACTGAATAACTATTTGTTTGAACAACTTTGTTTAGAAATTGGAGCTGACCAATCACACCTATTGTATTATTCATTAATTAAGTGGCTTTCCTGTGACAGCAATGGAGATTCATATTTTCCAACTAAAAAAAATCTCCAATGACAGAGCTATTTTCCAATGATGATTGGATAGTAAAGCTATCATATTTAGCAGTTGTTTCTCAAAGCTCAATGAACGTAATCTAAAACTGCGTGAGAGGGGAAAAATTACGTATGCATACACAGTAATGAGATAAAGATTCAAGAGATCAGTACAATGGTTTGGCAAGCCAGGCTTAAAGTAGGACAACCTGATTGCTACATTCTTCCCAACACTTTTGCAACACATTGAGGACAACAACAAGACATACAGCTGCATCTTCAGTCTATGTGAGTGAGTTTTGAGCAGTATTTTCCAGAAAAGGGGATGGTATATTTGAAACAAAAACACTGGATGAAAGACCCATTTGCATTTGAAATCACAAGTGTGTGTTGTTGGGTTAAACACAACACCTGATCAGGAAAAAGAACCAATCCATCTCAAGTTAAATATTTTTTCTTTGCTTCCTTTTATGATCAGTTACAAGAGTCAAGTTATAATTTCCACTTTGACGAGGTTAAGACCCAAAAACTGAATCAAACTTAAGAATTAATGGAGCTGATATGAGTGGAGCAAACATCATGTGAACCAGAGCCAGCACTGATCAAGCATTTATACAATAACTTACAAAACATCTACATCTTTCCTCCATCATGCCAGCTTTGTTTACATTTAATAAACAATTTACAATCTTCTAAATTCCACAGCCCAAGATTAGTATCATTATAAACAGCCTCATAGAGATTTGGAGTTAATAAACTGTTTACTAAATGTAAACAAAGCTACTATGATTGAGGAAGGATTGATAAATTTCGTAAGTGGTCACATATATGTTTGACGAGTCTAGCCCCAGATGTGGTCCACCCGTCACCTGTCATCATGTGAACCGGATTGGTCCATAACAGCAAGTAACTGGACGTAACAAAATACCAAGTAACAAAACAATCAGTCACACACTCCACACACAAATTTTAAATTTATTTATTGTATACTGTATTTGTTTAATTACATGTACAGTATAATGAATTATCTCAAATTAATACTGTACAACTTCACTAATGAGTTAAAAGCCCAAAATTAGCTTTCCTGTTACCTTGTTTTATATTACATGTCAGACAGTGTCAGACTAGGGTCGTGACAGTGTCAGACTAGGGTCGTGACAGTGTCAGACTAGGGTCGTGACAGTGTCAGACTAGGGTCGTGACAGTGTCAGACTAGGGTCGTGACAGTGTCAGACTAGGGTCGTGACAGTGTCAGACTAGGGTCGTGACAGTGTCAGACTAGGGTCGTGACAGTGTCAGACTAGGGTCGTGACAGTGTTAGACTAGGGTCGTGACAGTGTTAGACTAGGGTCGTGACAGTGTCAGACTAGGGTTGTGACTGTGTCAGACTAGGGTCGTGACAGTGTTAGACTAGGGTCGTGACAGTGTCAGACTAGGGTTGTGACAGTGTCAGACTAGGGTCGTGACAGTGTCAGACTAGGGTCGTGACAGTGTCAGACTAGGGTCGTGACAGTGTCAGACTAGGGTCGTGACTGTGTCAGACTAGGGTCGTGACAGTATTTGATATTATTGAACTGGGTCGCGAGAAAAAGTTTGAAGAACCCTGGCATAAACGATACAATCTAATTCAAATTTATAACTACATATAAATAAACAGCACAAAAATGTTTCGATACAAATCAAAACAATATGATCTAATCAAATTACTGGACTAACCACAGACATCCAATTTGAGTTCTCCCACTCTTCATAATCAGATTCATCATTATCATTAGGTAGTTTAGTTGCTGTTCTGCTAGAGGATCTGCTCTGATCTTGGGAAGGTGTGGAAGCAAGGCTAGTGGACTTAGTGGAAGGAGTAACAGACCTGGAGGAAGTGGACGGCTGTGGGGTAAAGGTGTTTCTTATCAGAGTTAACCATGACAACTCTAGAGAGCATGTGTGTTTAGGATTATAAAGGAATACTTTATGAATAAAAACAAACAAATTCATAACTAAATAAAATGTAAAGACAGTTGTTGAAATAATATATAACTGAGATGGCTTGAAAAGTCCTTGCTCTTTAAACACTGAAATTAAGATTTGAAGTCAATGTGATAATTCTACTTAATAAAAACAAATTCAAGTCACTTTTGGTTGTTGTTGAAGCTGCGTCTCCTGCTGCTGTTGCTGTTGTTGGTGCTGTTGTGTGTTTACGCTTATGTTACTCTTGTAGAACTTGGATGTGATAGCACCTACTGCCCAACCTGCCCAGGATGCTGTCTGTGTGCTACCAGAGTTGAAACTTTTCACTTCAGCCTCTGAAGGAAGATAAATGTAATTCAGGGTATTGCCTGAAAATTTCACAAGGTTTTGAAATGAAACAGACATAAAAATTCTTATACTGTACACAGACATGCAATAAAGGTAACCTCAAGAGCCTTCAGTGTCATAATGATGGTGAACATTAGGGTAATCCTAAGAGTAACAATCTTCAATACTGTAATAAGGGTGAGCATAAGTCATCACCATCATCAAAATAACAATAACTTGCAAGAAAAAGAGTATATTCCCACCACACAACTTGACAATGGTCAAGGACGGACCGAAACATTGCCGCTTCTCCGTCTTCTGAGTTGTGGTTTAGTCATCATATATTCCTACTAACAAAGCTATCACAAAATCTCCATTGTGTCACCTTCATGACAGAATGAAATGAACACACCTTGTGTTACTCTTGAGCCCCTGACCAAACATTGAGTAAAGGCATTATTATACCATATTGTCTACATTAGTCTCTGTGATTCAACTTGGTGAAGCAACATTGTGTACCCCATACAATAACCATAAACAGGCTTAAGTGCTATTTAAACCTTGTGTTAAGACTTAAGACAATGGAATATTACTACCCTAATGCAATAAATATAATTATAATTATAATTATAAATATATATATATATATATATATATATATATATATATATATATATATATATATATATATATATATATATATATATATATATATATATATATATATATATATTAGTATATTTTGGTAGCAGTCTTTCCTGTAGACATATATTATTAAATATGACCGCAAAAGTAAGATTAATAATTCTAACACGAATTTTCTCAATCTTTCGTACATTTCTTTTCACTGTTGGAGGTAATTCAAAAATCAATTCTCCAAAATTCATTTTTATTTCTAGTCTGACGCGACACTTGAGCGCGTTTCGTAAAACTTATTACATTTTCAAAGACTTTACACATACACAACTGAATAGAACTTACATATCTCCGATTTGTTTATATCTACATTTGAGTGAGGTGGATGGGGTGAGGTGGTATTTAATAGGGTATTAATTTCATCAACACAAGACAGAACACGAAACAATGGGTATTGAAATGGAAGTGATTGTAGAAAGCCTATTGGTCCATATTTCTTGATGCTTCTATATTGGAGCGGAGTCTTGAGGTGGGTAGAATATAGTTGTGTATTAATTGACTGTTGATTGCTGGTGTTGACTTCTTAATGTGCAGTGCCTCGCAAACGTCAAGCCGTCTGCTATCGCTGTATCTATCGATGATTTCTGTGTTGTTTACTAGGATTTCTCTGGCGATGGTTTGGTTGTGGGAAGAGATTATATGTTCCTTAATGGAGCCCTGTTGCTTATGCATCGTTAAACGCCTAGAAAGAGATGTTGTTGTCTTGCCTATATACTGGGTTTTTTGGAGCTTACAGTCCCCAAGTGGGCATTTGAAGGCATAGACGACGTTAGTCTCTTTTAAAGCGTTCTGCTTTGTGTCTGGAGAGTTTCTCATGAGTAGGCTGGCCGTTTTTCTGGTTTTATAGTAAATCGTCAGTTGTATCCTCTGATTTTTGTCTGTAGGGATAACGTTTCTATTAACAATATCTTTCAGGACCCTTTCCTCCGTTTTATGAGCTGTGGAAAAGAAGTTCCTGTAAAATAGTCTAATAGGGGTATAGGTGTTGTGTTAGTTGTCTCTTCAGAGGTTGCATGGCGTTTCACTTTCCTTCTAATGATGTTTTCGACGAAACCATTGGAGAAGCCGTTGTTGACTAGGACCTGCCTTACCCTACAGAGTTCTTCGTCGACTTGCTTCCATTCTGAGCTGTGGCTGAGAGCACGGTCGACATATGCGTTAACAACACTCCTCTTGTACCTGTCTGGGCAGTCGCTGTTGGCATTTAGGCACATTCCTATGTTCGTTTCCTTAGTGTAGACTGCAGTGTGGAAACCTCCGCTCTTTTCCATGACTGTTACATCTAGAAAGGGCAGCTTCCCATCCTTTTCCATCTCGTAAGTGAAACGCAGCACGGAACTCTGCTCAAATGCCTCCTTCAGCTCCTGCAGATGTCTGACATCAGGTACCTGTGTAAAAATGTCGTCAACATACCTGCAGTATATGGCCAGTTTCAAGTTCATGTCGACTAAGACTTTTTGCTCGATGGTACCCATGTAGAAGTTTGCAAACAGGACACCTAGGGGAGAACCCATGGCGACCCCATCTACTTGCTTATACTGTACATGTGCCCATCCAGGCTCAAGAAGGGTGCCTCTTTAGTACAAGCTTGGAGTAGTTTCCTCAGAATATTTTCTGGTATGTCAAGAGGAGTACAGGCTGGATCACGATACACTCTGTCGGCTATCATCCCGATTGTCTCGTCCACAGGTACGTTGGTAAACAGCGATTCTACGTCCAACGAGGCTCTTATCCCTGTGGCCCGTGTGCCCCGCAGTAAGTCAACAAATTCCTTTGGAGACTTCAGGCTGAAGGCGCAAGGAACATAAGGAGTCAGCAGGCCGTTGAGTCGCTTCGCCAGTCTGTACGTGGGTGTGGGTATCTGGTCCCCAGTAGGCATGACAACTCCATATGACTGAAGCCCTGTACTAATATTAGCTAATATCAGTCCAATAACTCCAGGGAACCGACAGGGGTTGCTCCACAGAATATATATATAAATACAGTATATATATATATATATATACACATACACATATCTCACCTATTTGTTCTCTTAGTGTTGGATCATCAGACACCTTCTCCAATTTGCTGAGAAATCCTTTTAAGACACGGAAAACAGAGTCGCGAACTGACTTTTCTGGGTCTAATGTTAGTTGACAAAGGCTTGGAAGGATCCTGTGGAAGATATTGCAATTTTAGTACAAATTATAATTTTACCACATATAAATCACATACCACATAAATTTAACTGTAAAATAAAAGTACAACCTTAAAAGTACCATTATAATTATGAATTTACACACTGTATATATTGCCTAGCATTGCTAGAACAGACAAATTAAGACAAGGCCTGTCCTGACTTTCCAAGCTTTTCACCATTTATTGGAATTTAGCACCAGTTTGATTGTTTTAATAATTAATATTAAAAATAATTAAATAAATTAATTTTATTATTAATTTAATAATTAATAATTCATTTGTAATCCTTGGTGGTGCTTCGCTAAGCACCACCAGGAATGCCACATTACAAATGTCAAATTAGCACATTTCATTTACAACAGTATTTATACCAAATACAGTGATAAATTCCAGGTACTGTACTTAGTTATGGCAAAATAAAAAATGAAATACAGGGTACAATACACAATCAAATCCACTCATAGAAAGAAAACATGTAAATTATCTGTTACTAAAGCAGTCTGGGTAGACAGACAATAACGAAGACCTCAGTAGCAAGCGAGCCCAGCCATCCTCGTTCAGTTAAACCCAGCCAGCCTTAACAAGGAAAAAGGAAGACCATTTCTTGCCTAGCTCTTGGTGTCTGAGATGACAAGGCTATCCCTTTAGCCAGTCAGTGTCATAAGTCAAATTTTAGAAAAGATAATGCAAAACTTATTTTTAATTCCTATTAAAAAAATAACAATCACTGAATTACAAGTTGATTTTTCCATCCACCTGGCCTTCATCACTCTTCTTTTTTTTCACTCATCAGTAAAGTGTTATTCTCATTAACTTTACATTTAAACCTTGCACAGAATAACTAGCAAAATCCTTTGAATCCACAGTAAATAATGGAATAATACTAAACAGTATTATTATTTTGGGGTGCCTACCTTTCTGGGTGCCTGACCCGGTCAATGGGTCAGGCACCCTGTAACAAAGTTTTCAATTGGGCAGCAGAAAATAACATGATGTTTAACAGTGATAAATTCCAGGTACTCAGGTACGGCAAAAATGAGCATCTGAAACATAATACAGTGTACAAAACACAATCAAATTTGCCCAAAGTAGGAAAACAGCATGTCAGAAAACAGTATTCTGTGGCATCCTTATTGGCATTTTAGAGGGTCATAACTTCTGAAAGTGGGAAATAATGATTTTTTTTTTTTTACATATACTGTACAGTAATTACTAAATCTACGTTACAATCCTCCCATGGTGGTGTTAATTGTCTCTTAGGCAAAGCAATACATTCTGGATTAACATCATACTGTACTTTGTAAGATTATAACTTAAGGTACTCATATATGTTCTCTTATTATACTTTAACATACACTGTTCATTACTTCCCACATTTTGAACTGAGAGGATTAATTCATTAGCTCCCCCGCCTCTCAATAATCTAAACGCAGAGGTTACATTTATCTTCGATATTCTATCTCCAATACAGTACTCTGTAGCTTCAATTCCATCCTCATTATCACAATTATAGCATTTCTTAAGGATCCTAAAATTATTCTCATGGCTTCATTTTGTACCTTCTCCAACTTGTTTAGTCTACCTTTACCAAAATAAGAAATGACAGGTGCAGCATAATCAATAAGGGATCTACCAGTACTCAAGTATATCATGCGTAGCACAGGGACTCCCACTCCCTTTCCACAGCTTGCCAAGGCCTTCAAGCTTGTAATCTCTTCTGACATTTACCCGACAGTCTGTTCATCTCAGCTTCCAAACTCTCATGGGTATATTCAACATATGTGCCTAAATATTGATAAATGTTAACTCAGTCTATATTTTTACCATTTATTTTCAACATAATAGGCCTCTGACTTCTACATTCAAACTTAGTCTTGACTTCATTAACCACCAGTCCCATATGGTGACACAGGTTTCCGAAATTATCCAACACCGTTTGAACATTTGAAATATCTATGCCCTGAAACAAAATATCATCAGCATATATGATTGGAGTTACCCCCATTGAGTATCTCTTAGATGCTATCCTATTCATTAGAATATTAAAATGGGTGGGACTCAACACGCCTACCCAAGGTGTGCCGAGTTCAAAAGATCTTACAACTGACATACAGCCTTAATACCACACCTGAGCCTTTCTTTCATGAAGATAATGCCCTATCTAGTGCAATAATCTCCCTTTAACTCCAAGACCAGCTAGTTCATATAAGATAACTGCTTTGTTAGCTTTATCAAAGGCTCCTTGTAAATCAATAACAATTCTATAGTAATCATTACCATTAGACAGACATTTAAGAATACAGTCAGATACTTTTGCCTCTGAGGAACCTAAATAAATTACTAGACAGCTGATTGCCTATCAAATATAAAAGTCTATTTAAAATGATCTTCTTCATCATTTTACAAAAAACACAAGGTTAAGAACACAGGTCTGTATTCGCCATTGGCCTTTGGGATAGGAATGATCATAGCTTTTTCCATTTACTAGGAATACTGCCCTCTTTATAACTAATATTATATAGGTCTAAAAGTATTTCTTTTATAACAGCAAGCTCATTAAGTATTTCATAAGTTACTCCATCCTCCCCAGGGGTGGTAGATTTCTCAATTTTAATCACCATTATTAGTTCATATCTGGTAATATCTGTGTATGTGACATCGTCACTATTACTTGTTGTGAATATAAAGTCCTCTCTGAGATCTTTCCAAGAAAACGACTTGCTCATTATAGCGAGCAATGAGCTAACTTTGGCAGCTTCCGCCCATTTATCTATGAGACAGTTTGCAGTACCTTGCAGGTCAAGATGTGCATCAAAATTATGCTTTTTACCCCTTACTTTATTTACATCCTGCCAGATTTCCTTCTCCCCCACACAGCCTAGCAACTGCCAGCAAAGCATTCTTCCCTTTCTCAGTCCTACCTTTCCTATTCCAATCTTTGTGAGCTTTTCTAATTGTTAATGTCCACCCCTTGTTAGTAATGTTAGCATCTTGACCTGCTTATGATTTTCTTTTTTGGGGGATGCCATTTTATACTGGATGTTCTTTTGTTCAATGTCGTGTTAAATACATTTACCTCCTTCATTAGATCTTAATAAAATGTTTCTGGGGCCTCTTCCAATGCAGAGATCAAGTGTTGAAGTATGCTCATTGAGCGGGTCTATCCAGGATCCTAAACCTGGCGGCGTCAGTATGGAGAGGTCTGGGGAGTCAAGGAGAAACTGAAACAAGGCTCGGACAGCCGTGTTGTGGTGGCGGCCCAATAGCATGGGTTGCCATGATGAGTGCCGAGTGTTAAAGTCACCCATGATGAGGCAGGTGTCTGTGATCTGACCAAAATAGTGTTCTACTTCCTTCTTCGTTACCGGTAGGCAAGGGTTATACAGAACTCCAAAGGTGCCCCACCCATGGGAGAGTTTTACTTTCACTGCCATGAACTCCAAATGCCCGCCCAGGAAGGAGTGAATTCAGAGCAAGAAGCTTGGAACTGAATCCCCGACCAAGAGGGCAAGTACCCCTCCACCCCGTACCAGCTGATCCTGTCTATAGACCGAATACTCCGGCACCGTGAAGGAAAGATCGTTAGTAAGCCAAGTTTCACAGAGTTCCACGATCAACGGTGGAGCGCTGGCGATAAAATTACGAACGAATTGCGTCTTCTTAAAAAAGGTATGGGCATTCCAAAATACTGTACCACAGTATTCTCAGGATGGGGCACCATTATGCCTGAAATACAGCAGCTAACTTTCTGACCACCTATGCACGTCTCCAAAGGAGGAACCACCAGAAAAAGCCATAAAACCCTCATACAAATTAAGTAAAATGTGTGGTATCAATGACAGCCAGTCCAAAGGCTGTTGAGCAATGCTTCTCTCAGCCTGACAGAAGCGGTGATCGGCTTGCGAACCTTCTTGACGGCGCCTGCGACTGGTCGGGGGCTTCACTCTGGGCCTCATGTTCCATCGGTGTCACAATTACCTGGGGGACCAGAGGATCATAAGAGCTATCCAATGGAGCACAACCTCCTGATCGATGGGTGTGTCGACGACGTCAGTGTTGGCTTCTCTGGGGGAGAGGCACAGGGGTGACAAGTGCCGGGCTCCTGCCGAGACTGAGCGTCCATGTCTGTATCCGTGGATGAGTTTTCTTCCATTTCAAGGCGACTCAGGAGGGAAAATCGATTAGCAGCCTGGGCTTATGAGGCATGTGGCTGGGACAGGCAAGAGTGACTGCTAGATCATACTTGCGAGGAGGGCCTACCTGGGGAAACCTGGGGGCGAGAAGGAACGATAGGCTGATTGAGGGCACGCAACCTCTGGACCAGCTCATGTCGAGGGGTCCCTGCTGTTTTATGATCGATATCCAACTGGAGAACCCCAAGATATACATGGCAACTCTTGGACGTAACCTTGTGATGGCCATGGCATAAAAGGCAGCGACGTGCGGCAGAGCACCCCACTGTTTTCTCTGTCTGTATGGCCTGTTTTGCATCAGTTTGTACAGCGAGCTGCATTATGGCAGGTGAGGTGACTGTGGCCCAATAGATGACAAGCATTGCATCGTAACACAGAAAAGTTGTAGGGCTGGACATCATATGAGGTCCTGAGTAGTGTGCCACCCGGTCTGGGAGGGGCCCATCGAACATTACACGGACCATGGATGTCAGCCCTGCTGCTCCGTGAATCCTGGTAACTTCCAATAATCCTGCTGATGCACCCCCTAACACCTGCAGAGCGGCCTGGATGTCATCCACTTCAACATTCGGGTCAATTGGGCCAATCTTCCCATATCGGGCCTGAGACTCCTCGTGAGACAATACCTGTCGGCACCTGACAGGCCAGTCCCCCAACTTGTTTGGGGGATACACGGATGTGCAACAGAGCCTCCTTTCTGATATGTAGCATCAGTACTGCACCCCTACCCAGGGTACGCACGGTCTCAGGCAGGCAATATGGCCACAATACATGTACCGAAGCCTCAATTGCTGCACTTAAGGTACAAGGATTCGCAAAGACGCACTGGCCTGTTGCTGACTGGATTAAGACAACTGCAAACGAGGAATGAGGTACCACAAGAGGAGGGTCTTCTGAAGGCGAAAACATCCTCTTATCATCTTGCTCTGGGGAAGCATCAGCCGACTCATTTTCCAACAGACGTTTGCCTCTCTGGGACTTGCTGTCAACGTCCATGGCGCACTGGCCCAAAGAAGCCAGCTGAGTTCAAAGATGAGCTCCGGATGAGGTGAGGAATGAAAGTCCAGCCAGGAGCGTACAATCTGCACACCAAGACGGCCGACCCTCGTGGCACTTCGTCCGACAACTGGGTTGCAGGGCCAATGGGGATTTACCCTCACAGCTGTTATATTTTCATACAATAGCTACTTGCATAACATCAGTGCAAGGGGTCTAAATGCAGTGAGGAAACGTACTGGTTTAGGATCAAGTATTACTTCCAACCAATATTTTTGACTTACTGTAGTTATCCTTATGACTTTAGAGGTGGTGACATGTAGGATTCCAACATATCCAAAATATATAGGTTTATTTGTGCACTTGGGGAACTGAAAGATTTAATCATCCATCAGTGTACTCTGACATGTACAGGATAAAGATTTATCTGTTTATCTGAGGTCTTCAGATAACCAAGAGAACTACGTACAACTATATGCTTAAAATAGCACAAATAAATTTTAGAATAAATAAAAAAAGAATACCTACTTTGAAGCAACTTCATGTAAAGGGTAATACTGCTGAGTAGCTGCTATGGCCATTACACCAGCTGTGCGTGCAGGAGGAAAGGGATCCCTCATGGCTCGGGTGAATGCTGAGGTTAGACACTTTTGTCTTACATCTGGATGGAGGTAGCCAGTTATCTTTCCCAGGCAGACTGTAGTGTTGGTTCGGATTCCTCCCTGAAATTTAACAAAGATTTAAGATTAAACAATTTACAAGTTGCAGATACTGTCCCTAAAACAACACTTGTCACTCTGAAGGTTCAACATGAAATCTTTGCACATCAAATCAGAACTTCTATTAATCTTTGCCATTAAATATTCTTTCTGTATGAACAGCTGTCATTAATTTGGATGTCATTATACCATAAATTCTGTACAACCAAGTAAAATCCATTTGTGGACAATCCAATATTGGTAGGGAGTGGAGACGATGTCACAATAATGTAGCTGAAGAAATGATTACTAAACTACAACTCAGAAGACGGAGAAGTGACGATGTTTTGGTCCGTCCTGGGCCATTATCAAGTTGTGTGAGATTTGATAATGGTCCAGAACAGATCGAAACGTCATCGCTACTCCATCTTATGAGTTGTGGTTTGGTCTTAATTGGTAGGGAGTGTTTGCCAACAGCTGAACACTGCTAATACACACCCTTTATGATTCTCACCAGTTCAGTGTGTTTCTTTGGTCTGTGTTAGCTTGCTTTGCTGCACCCCATAAATAATGATTTGTGCACTACATGGTAAGTGAAAGCAGGTGGAAAGTGCCCAGTAGGTGTGGGAAATGGCAGTGTGGGGAGCGGTAGTGATGTAAGGATTGCTAATGAATGTTTGAAGTTTCAGCAAATGTGTGACATGGAGCATTCACATCAAAAGAATCTATCAAAGCTATTCAAACAATCCTAGCATAAAGGAGAAATACAATTAAATTAACATGAGAACCCATTAAACTGAGCATTGAGTTTAATGAAATACCCCCTTCTGAGGGCTCTTCAGTGGCTCCCCATAATTCATGCACTGGTACTCCAGCAATGGTAACATCTTGCTAGGAGCCTATGACCATTTCATGACCAACTGAGAACCAGAACCAGACTCCTGCGCTCTCACAGATGTGAGGGAGTTGTGGGTGTCATAAGACATCAGAGATGTCTGAGATGAGAAATTATAGGGCAAAATGGAGTAAAAACTCAAAACTCTTCCACAAATATTTAGAACCATGACAAGTCAAGGATCCACTGCACTTTTGTATGGATGATGCAGTAAACCTGACAGTTTTTCTGTCCATGATGATGGAAAAATGAGAGCATCTCCCAGCATGTTGTGGACAAAGACATTCTCACAACAACACATGCTGTGCTGCCATATATGATGGTTGGAGGACAAACAGATTTTGGCCAGAAGGAACATGTCTGGAACATCCCATCATCTGAAATGTGCCATTTTTGTTTTCCTTATAGTAATGTACATAAGTGATATAAATAATAATTATTCTCAAACAATTGAAGAATAATTATCATGGTTGAAACAAGGCTCTATACAAAACAGTAAGTCAGAAAGAAAATACCGTGTCCATGCAAAATTACCTATATCAATATCATAGGTACATGATATATCAATGCATGAGCGAAGAATTCGCAAATTCATTTTAACATTAAAAAATGTAAAACCTTACATGTGGGACAATAAAATGTATCACATTTATCATATTAATTACAAAAGCTTGCTACAGATTGACAAGGGCCCCCAGAATAACTCACCAGTCATTGATAATCCCCAATGGTACAAAAATTAAACACTAAGAATACTGTAATCAAGCAAACCCTTGACTGTAAGGACAAGAAAACAGTCATTAAAGTTTACAAATTCCTTGTGAACATATTCCTAAAGTTTACAAATACCCAAACTCTAACCAATCTGGTTTGGGTTTTGCACATTTTCACTACAGTACTTAAATTGCCTAGTCAGAGAGTAAGTATTTAAGTATTAAAATATTTTAAGACAACATCAAAGTAACAAATAAATATATTGAGAATAAACATGAAAATTACATACTACACATTACTGTATGTAATCATACTTGAAAAACACAACAGTACTTACTTGATCATCTTTTGACTGAAGTCGTGCAAAATGCTTCAAGACTTCCACGTTGAGGTTATTGTAGTTGAGCTTAGGGGCCAGGAACATAATTGACTGCAAGATGGCAACAAATTATAAAGGTTTGAATAGATTCTTTGGTAATTTCTTGTTTATACAGTGCAAATTTGTTTATCTGGCTCCATAAAACTCCAGACTGTAAATTTGCTATAAACTGTTTGGTACCTATATAGCTCAATTCATTAAGTTATGACACTTAGCTTCCCATGATGCTACAATGTGTGTGGGCAAGGTATGTATTCCTGTCAATTTTGTGTTCCACACCAATGCTTTACTCTCATATAATACAGTTGGATGTACTATGTTCTCCAACAGATTGTGCCTCACATCAACTTTAACCCTCATCGCTCTCTTCTGAGGAATTGTTAACTGCTTGCCTCTCAACTCTCAAATGTTCCCACAACTCCCCAATATTCCTAACATAACAATTTGTAAGATTTCTGATAAATCCTCTGTAACTACTTTCAGGGCATTATTTCAATCCTTTTACATAAGACACAAATGCCCTATTTATTGTCTTTTAAATTAAATTTATTTACAACTTGATACTCTTATTACATATTTTTGCAGTTTGCAATTTCACAAATGTACTGTACGGTACTCCAATATTTCATCTCCTTTCGATCTGTTCAAAAATCCTTTTATACAGTACCTCAATTATTAGTCTTTAGTAAGATCTCATGGTAAATTCAATGACAATTATATGCAAAGAGTACAGTACAAACCTCTTAAGAGTCAAATGTAACATATAGCTTGAAGTTATCTTGAGATGATTTCGGGGCTTAGTGTCCCTGCGGCCCTGTCCTCAACCAGGCCTCCTTTTTGTTACACCCCCCCAGGAAGCAGCCCGTGGCAGCTGTCTAACTCCCAGGTACCTATTTACTGCCAGGTAACAGGTACATCAGGGTGAAAGAAACATTTTGCCCATTTGTCTCCGCCTCCACCGGGGATCGAATCTGGAACCTCAGGACTACAAATCCGAAGCGCTGTCCAGCCAGATGGGTGGACATGCCCTGCTATACCCCGCACTTCCTATACGAATCTCTTCTTAATTCTTCGTTTTACCAGCTTTACTCTCACTTTACACACACACACAAGTGTAGCTCTCATCCTGTAACCACACTTAGGTAATTACACACACACACACACACACACATACATTGGCCAAGCAGCCCATCTCAACAAACATATTTGCAAGTATTTGCCAATCTATAAATGCTATATGACTTTCTTCCAGTTTTCACAAAAACTCTATAAAGTAATAATTTTATTCTTCAAAATATTACTGTACCTCTATAGCTGAAACAGCTCATATAATATTTCATAACAATACAGAAGAACTGAGCTTGAGTCCACTGGAAGTTGAGATTCTAAAGAAGATTCATTCCGGTCATAACAACATTCCAATAAACTATACTGGAAAAAATATAAAATATTTAAGAAAAAACTTGGGGGAGAGGAAGGGGAGGGTGACAGAAGCAAGTTAACATATTTACAAGACTGGAATTCTATGGCAAAAAATCTTGAAACAAAATATAAAAAAGTAAGGCATTGAGTGAGCTGGTCATCAGCTTTCTCCCATATATTAGCTCCTGCTCCCTCAGGGACATAATTTTCAATCCAGTTCGAAAAGACCCACAGAAGATTATTTCACTACATTCAAACCTTCTCCAAGCCAACATGTGCCCCCTGGTGTTAGGATTGAGTGTGATTTGTAGTATTAAATATTACTTAGGTTCATATGTTGATGTTCATTGGTTTTCAATTACCTTATGTTAATACCTGGAACTAATACTTGTGAGTGTGGTTTTTGTTGTCAATAAATGAAAGGATGAGACATGTTTTTTCAGTCCACCCATATATAGTCCATATAACCCATATTCAGTCCATATAACATTTAAAGTCACTGAGTGGTCGCTGCCAAAGAAACTGATCCAACCTCAATCCCCGAAGTTAGGCTATGTAGGTGAAATTTGTCCGAAACAAATCTCAAGAACTCTACAAAACTGCTCTTAAAAATAACACAGAAGGGAGAGAGAGAGTTTGCTCTAGCACCCCCAAGAGACCCTAGGAAAACATGACAAATACATAATACAAAATATCCTAGGGTGCAGAAAAGAAATGCATGGACCAGCAGGTGAAGAAAATGAAAGAAGCCCAGTGAGGCATAAGGTGAAGGAAAGTTAAGACTCGCAACCAAAAGAGCCAAAACATCTGTAAATCTGTAAAGCTGGTACATCTTTACTGTACCACAGTCAAATTCAGGTCAGAGGCCACAGTACACTGAAAATTAATCTCATAATTAAACTACCACCAGTATTAAATTTCAACAGTGATCAAGAAAATTTTAAGTAAATGTCTTCAAATAAATGAGTTCTCATGAAAATGTGTCTTAAAAATGTTTTGGTAATATCTTAAGGCTTGGGTCAGTTGCTAACCATCTTCACACACTGTACTAACCTTCACTGTGTGTTCTCGAATAGTTGGATTAGTGTCCAAAAACCCCGTGGCCAGCTGAGGGAAGACTTGGTCATTAACTGTTGAGAGATTCATGTGCTCTACAAGGAATTCAATCTGCTGTAGGAGCTTCAGTCGAGTGGCTCGATCACTTGATGAAAACAGTTTAACTACACACGGAAGAATGCTCTGCTGATATTCCGCTTCACTGAGCAACTTGCCAATCTATTAAAAGGGAGAAATGTACAGTAAATAATCTCTTACCCAATAATGATAGTGGTTATAGCAACTAGGGGTTGCTATATACAGTATATATATAAAAAAAAAGCTTTGTACAATAAATTTCACAGAGAACATAAGAAGACAACATTCAAGCTTAAACTTCCTAAGCCTAGTATAGCACATATGTACTAAATTAGGCTTAAGATTACATATATTATGCCTAGGATTGCTTAATTATGTTTAGAACAAATTTGGATAGGTTCTATAGTTGCTGTTCTAGTTTTAAACTTACCATTTGCAGTATTCCAATAGTACAAAATGTGATTTTTTTGTGTGTGGGTACAACAGTTCAATTTTGTATGTTTATCAACTGTTGCTATATGTACTACTATATCATTTTTGGAGTCAGGGTTGACTGAGTCAAACCCTAACTCAGGGTCTTGAGTGACACTCAAAGGTTATGACTAATGAGTAAAGAGAATACCTTTCTCAAAGTTATATAAAATATTTTACATGCACTGTACAGCTGCATACTCTAAAACAGTACTGCTGTATATTTTAATTCAGCAACCCCAGTCATACCATATTGTTCCCTCATGACAATACTTTTATGGACGACCAAGCCCAACAGGTCCTATACCAATTTCTACACAATATTGGATCCTTACCTTAAAAAGAGGACTAAGCACAACAGACCCCACATTGGAGAACTCATGGGCAGCTAGCAGAGCAGGCAGAACTTTATTCTTGGCAACATACTCGGGAATGTTATCCAGCTTGGGCGTCAACTCGGAGAAGAATCTAGAAGATGAAACATGATACACATTACTGTACCATTTAGATGCCAAACAATCTTAAATTGCATAATGCTTGCTATGACTGCCACTTTCCAGTACTTTAATAATATTTCTTTCCTATACCATGTTATTCTTTCCTCTTTAAAGATTTCTAATGATATAAATGAGCAAAAATATTTTATATTTTTGAATAAAATAAACTGCATTCTTAAAATCTAATTGCTTTATGACACTAAAGGCTTTATTAGGATCCAACAGTGCCAATATACTTAAAAAACCAGTGTTGAATGTAATGAAATACCATTTTCTGGGCGAGACCCGGAGGCTTCCCAGAGCTATCCAGGTTGATATGTATATCATTAGACTTTGGCATCAGTCAGTGTGCATGGAGTTCTAGGCCAACAGGGGACTACAAGCCAGAACCTGGACTCCCCCCACCCACCCCACCTCTCAGAGTGGCACGAGGAACAATGGCCTATACAAATGCACATTGGGTTTGGAGCAATCTATGTCTGCCATCGACGAACCTGGGGAAGGATGAACCAAACCTGGAATCGAACCCAGAGAGGAGCCGAACCCAAATCCAACTCATACACAGAGGGGAGGGGGAAAGGGAAAACCCCACTCCTTGTAACAGAAAGCCCCGCTCCGAGGGTTAGAAAACCCAGGCAGGGAACCTCCCCAACATCAGCCGAGAACTGGAGGGTGGATCGCCAGCGCGGTGGGTCTGAGGCTCCTCCTTCCCCCTCCCAGGAAGGGGGGGAACTGCACAGACATGCAGCACAGCTCATGTGACGTCTTGCTTGTCTGCTCATTTTCATTCGAGGAGTTCTGTCCACTCGTTTGTCTATTTTAGTCATTTTAACCAGAATAAGGGTTTGTTTTGAGGCGCTTACCTTTCTGGGTGCCTGGCACAGTGGATGGAAGACATAGAATGTTCCAAATCCCATGTGCATTTCTATAGGCCATTGCTCCTTGTGCCTCTCTGATGGGGGCTAGGTTCTCGCTCGAGGTCCCCGGTAGGCCTAGAACTCCATCCACACTGACTGATGCCAAAGTCTAATGATATACATATCAGTCTGGATAGCTATAGGGAGCTGAAGGGGCTCCCCCCAGAAAATATCACCATTTTCCAAAATGATGTGATATTTCACAGACCTTGGAGATCAATGCCTTTGAATAGCATGATGAAGGTTAAAAGCACATTAAACAGCTCAAAAGATGAATAAAGAGGTCTTCAAGGGACAAACTCTTCCTTCCCCCCTCTCCCAAGCTTGAAGAAATCTCCAGTCTCCGAAAGAGACTGTCTAAAAGAAATTTACAGTCTCCGTGGTGTAGTGGTAAGACACTCGCCTGGCGTTCCGCGAGCGCTATGTCATGGGTTCGTATCCTGGCCGGGGAAGATTTACTGGGCGCAATTCCTTAACTGTAGCCTCTGTTTAACGCAACAGTAAAATGTGTACTTGGATGAAAAAACGATTCTTCGCGGCGGGGATCGTATTCCAGGGACCTGCCCGAAACGCTACGCGTACTAGTGGCTGTACAAGAATGTAACAACTCTTGTATATATCTCAAAAAAAAAAAAAAAAAAAAAAAAAAAAAAAAATCAATACCATGACATTTTTCCATGCTAAGGGAAATATCCTGAAACAAATCACAAGCTTAAAAGTGGAAAGAAACAATTCAACACTACAGACTCAGTCCATCAAATATAGGATGCAGTCAAAGTTGAACTGGCATAGAGGTTTCGAGATCCCAATGAGTGGTAGTACAGGTAGGAATAATACCATCTCTTAATGCCAGGAAAATAAAAAAAGTCCCACAGCACTTATAAGAGAGAGATGAGAGATATACAAATCATGAACATACACAAATGATGCTGAAACAGAATGGAACCTGTAAAGTTTAGATGGAGCCCATACACCTAATCATAGAACCAGATTCCTGGGTACTGTTGAGAGGAAAGGCTCATTCAAGAGGAGAAATCCCTGATGAATGCACTATCAGACTGGCAAAGAAAACAAAACAAAACTGCCTGCATTAGTTCACTCAAGATCAAGAGACCAGCACTGATAGTGAATACACACATGAAGCATTAACTAAAGTACTGTACAGGTCAATTACATACAAGAAAATCATTTCAGGATGAATGACCAGCCACTAATAAGTCCCTACTCGCAGGAAAAGCTCTCCGAGAAGTAAAATTGGATTGCTAGCAGCTTCTGCATACATGACAAGTGTTTTTTTGTTTTGTATTTTTCAGGGGGATCCCTGCACAGGCCCCTAAACCTCTGTCTGACCCACTAAGTGTCACTCATTTTTGTCTTACTTTGGTTGTGTTTGAGTATTTATGACTCACAAGTCAGCTTCAGTACGGTTATGTCCAATGTTTTCAACTTCTGCACTGTTAAATCTCACTGGTAACTGGTGGCCAGGTAACCAACTAGTTACTGGTCATTATAAGTAACATTTTGTGGTTTCTCTGATTTCCAGTACAGTATTGCTGGAAGGAGCACCTTTGGTGTACAAGAATATACTTTCTGGTGGTCATTCAGGGTAGGTCTGAGAATTTTTCAGTGTCTAAAGAAATTCCCTTTCCTCCACTAGGGCTTAACACAGGCATTTAGAAAAGATTTCCAGTTTTGGATAATGATTAAGTCACACTAGATCAGGCTCAAGTTCACAATGTCCCTGGGGTAGTGGAGTACTGTATTGCCTATGCTCAGAAATAAAGCTTTTAATAAAATACATAATAAACTAGACTGGCTTTAAACAATTTATCAATCCTTTTCAACTAGAATGAGTATTAGCGAATTTGACAAATTTTACAAGCTTGGAAATCCAGAATTTAAGTAAAAAAATTAATATTTAAGGAAATCTGCCTAAGTAAAATTATCAACTGTTTAATTTTGATTCTCAGAGTTGCTACAGATGACCTGCATTGCCAAGCAAACCTGTATAAAACAAAACATTTACCTAGACAATATTTCAGTTAGTAAAAGTTTGATTTATTTTAGTTTGTAAAAGTAAGCCCTTTAAGATAATGACTTGTACAAGTCTACAATATACTATCTTAAAAAATTTACACTACAGTACAGTTTAAAAAGTACCTATCAGAATCATTATTTTCAAAACTAGATGTGAAATACAGTACATCTAGTCTACCAGATAGATATGATGAACACTCAATATATTACATCAATCAACTGTATCATTTTGGTTAAATGTTTAACTGCACATGTACATATGTATGAACAGTAAAGTAGGCTTACCAAAACATACCTGTGTTTTTCATTGGCATCCTTGATTTGTATTTCTTCCAGGAACAGTAAAGTCTCTATGAGATCGTTGTGGAAAAATTGCCCGGGCTGATGAAGATTACTGACAACATCTCGTGGGTTCGGCCGGGCAGCAGGATTGGCCCCAACAAGTCGGGTGTATGTCGTTACTAATGACTTGGGTATCTGAATAAAAAGCCATTAATAAAATTAAAATAAAATTTAGTGGCAATAAATATCTTATTCCAAACAAAAAATCTTATTCAAAACAATATAGTACCACCCCCAACACTGCCGATCAACGGTAAATAACTGGAGTGGAGGAGGTCGAGGATACTACGGAACTAAACTCTACAAATCCTGAAGAGGAAAATGTCAAAGCAAAATCCATTACAACCCGCTGGACTCCACACCCAACACGCCTGACTGCAGAGAAACAATACCCATCAAAAAATCAATACAGAATCTTCAGCAAAAACCAGCTCAGAGGGATTAATATCCAAAGAACAGGCAACCTAATCTATTCTTAAAAGTTTAACAGGAGAGGAGGGCATCCCACAAAATCCAACACAGAGGAATGCTCCACCGTAACAGACACCGTCGGGAAAAGAAGCGAGGCTGCTCAGGCACAACTGTCTAAATTCAAAACACCCATGACAACTTTCTCCAGTTCACAAAAAACCTAAACTGTTTCAACTGGGAAAAACCTGAACCCTGATGAGCAGGCAAGCCAACTACCACTTAGCCCAAACCAGCTAGTTGTTGTGGTAGGGTAGATCTCATATTTCCCATCAAAAATGACTCGGACAATTCAAGACAATCTTGTGAAGATTTCATGTGCCACCTTCAGCCACACCAGCAGAGCCTGAAAGTGGTACAAAAGAGCCCCACACAGACCCACTCAAACCTAATCATTGGATAGATGGGGACCTGCCAAAATGTATCGAATTGAGATGGACAACAAAAACAACTCAAATCTTTTGCATCCGGAGCATCAAATCCTTTGGGCCCCGGTCCCAAACACAATTGAGGGACAAAGGATAACCCGGAATCAACCTCTGACATCCTAATGCTCTAGTGCACCTCCTTCCCCAGAGGAGAACACCCCAGGATAGAGCCAACAACTTTCTCCAAATACCTGAGAAGGAAATGGATGTGAGCAAGCAAATGCAAAACAAGTCCCCAGACCCGGTACATCTAATTTCAGGGATATTTCAAAGAAACAATGGAGAAAAGGGAAATAGATGACTCAGCTATCTCCACAAACAGCCAAGAAAAATAAGAACATAAGAATAAAGGATAGTGCATAAAGCATATTTAGCCATATGAAGCAGTTCCTGTTTATATCCACCAAAACTCATTAATTTAAACTACCATTTGATGGTAGCTAAGATAGATTGAAGGCTGGCCAGATGGTTTCTAGTTAGTTAAGGAGGACATGGAAGAGGTTTGGGTTTATATGATTTGGACCTTCTAGTGATCATTCCAGGAAGATGCTATCCTCCAGTATTTCCTTATACCATTATGACCCTGTGAGGAGTACAGTATTTGAAAAGATCCCCACAAAGCAAGTACCACAAAGTGGCTGTCTAACTGCATGTTACAGTTCCTCCTTAGACACTAAAAATGCACTTTTGAGAGCAAAAGAATTAGATATATCTGAAAAACAAAGTTCAATATTTCAGCCCATCCTCCTATTTTGGTAGGATGAGTAACCATAGTATATATACCGACTTACAACAAAATTAGAAAGTAGAAATCTGAACTGAACAATTGAGTTGGACAAATTGGAAAACTATTTTTTACTTATATTGCAATACTAAACAAACCTAACCTTCCTAGGCCTAATACACAATATCTGAGGCATAATATAGTACATGTGTGTGTTATACTTGGGCTACCTTGAGGTTACCTTGAGGTGCTTCCGGGGCTTAGCGTCCCCGCGGCCCGGTCGTCGACCAGGCCTCCTGGTTGCTGGACTGATCAACCAGGCTGTTGGACTCGGCTGCTTGCAGCCTGACGTATGAGTCACAGCCTGTTTGATCAGGTATCCTTTGGAGGTGTTTGTCAAGTTCTCTTTTTAACACTGTGAGGGGTCTGCCAGTTATGCCCCTTATGTGTAGTGGAAGAGTGTTGAACAGTCTCAGGCCTCTGATGTTGATAGAGTTGTCTCTCAGAGTACCTGCTCACCTCTGCTTTTCAACGGGGGTATTCTGCACATCCTGCCATGTCTTCTGGTCTCATGTGATGTTCTTTCTGTGTGCAGGTTTGGGACCAGCCCCTCAATAGTGGCTTTAGGCATTGTATGTACTAGCTCTATCTATATATCGATCCATTAATGTAACATCACTTGTATGTATGTACCTTTCCTGAATAAACATATCTATTTATTTATTTATTTATTTAATTATTTTCCACGTATAGATTACTATGTATCTCTCCCACCTGCGCTCAAGGGAATACAGATTTAGGCTCTTTAGTCGGTCCCAGTAGTTTAGATGTTTTACTGAGTGGATTCTAGCAGTAAAAGATCTCTGGAATATATCGCTAGGAATATTTAAGTTTGTTTTTAATTTTCTTTTATTTTAAAATAATTCCTTACTAATCAAAATAGTCTAGTCTAAAAGTTAAGTACAGTATGTACAGTACAGATTCGTGACTATTGACGAACATCACAATAGGTACAGTACTATCTAAACAGGAGGATGGGTTAAAATTATATATTTTTGGGGAGAATAATTCAATTATGTACTAACCTTACTAGTATTTCTGAGAGATATGGATTGATCGAGATACCCATTAAATACTTCCCATATAAGACAGCCAAGTCCCCACACATCTGCTGCCCTGGAAAAAATAAATTATATAAACATTCCAAAAATACTTATTTAAAAGTCTTGCCCTGCTCTCTTTAAGAAAAAACCTGGGAGATATACTGAATCAAAATCTCAAGAAAATTCAGCAAGTGGAAGAAGCTGCAAAAACTAGAAAATTAGTCCTAGTAACATTTTCCCTTCTGAACATGAACCTTAGATGCTCCAAGGACTCCTATCATGTGTCAGGGTTTCAAGGCTTTTCGGGGTTTGGCTCCATGGCATCTTCCAGCTCCGTCACTCAATGTCTTCATGAACATTGAGGGGGTAACATGTTCTTCTAACCATGTGGGTCTGTTTTGTTATGCCTACCTTTCTTGGTGCCTAATCCCAATCGATAACATAAGAGAAACCTTCAACCACAGGGGGAGGTTTTTCAGAGGCCATTGCTCCCTGAGCCTCTCTGAGGGGGCCAGGTTCTGGCTTATGGTCTCCGGTAGGCTGAACTCCATTGATTAATGCCCTGGTCTGATGTATCGCATATTAGTCCAATAGCTCCAGGAGCCGAAGGGGCTCCCCACAGAAAAAACATTTGTGTCTTATTTTGGCCACTTCAGTGAGGAAATCACAATTCACAAGCATTAATGGAGCAATTTTTCAATGGTGGTCATTCCTGACTAGGCACTGAATGGGAGTTGCCATGATGATATTTTTATATATTTATTTCAATGTCACTGACTTCTTTTTCCCTTTTTTTTTCTTTACAGTACTGGTAACATTATTTTCTCGAGTGCAATGATACAATGGGCAATCAATAGCATTATTTATATCACAGAACATGTAGAACAAAGGTATGCACAGATACATTTGTGCCACTAATATGTGCATAATATTGTATTCTTTGAACCATAAAACATACTGCATTTTCTGTTATTACACTGTATACAAATGTTATATGTAACTATTTCAATTTGTATGCACCATAATGAACCATCACGTTACATGTAGTCATTTCGTAACCTAAGCAGAACATAGTGCCACATGTTAGTCAGCTGCAGATGGCATCTGACACAGGAAAATCCCTCCAAGTAAACTGCACACATTGCTAATTCAAGCCACAACACTGCTATTATTATTATTATTAGATTCCTGGTCACTAAATCCTGAATATGAACCATTTTCCATAAGTTTATTTTCTAAAGGAACATGAGGTGCCATTTCATGAGGAGTAGATACACCAAACTGTGACCGTGTGTGTGGATATCTGCTTTGTGCTGTGGACATCATAACCAGTGTGGGTTCACTAATATCTGAGCTTTGTACATAGCGGACAGAACACTAGACACATGATCCTGTGGTCCCGGGTTCGATCACAGGCGCCGGCGAGAAACAATGGGCAGAGTTTCTTTCACCCTGATACCTAGAAATAAATAGATACCTGGGAGTTAGTCAGCTGTCACGGGCTGGTTTCTGGGGGTGAAGGCCTGGTCGAGGACCGGGCCGCAGGGACACTAAGCCCCAAAATCATCTCAAGATAACTCAAGATAGTTATCAATCACAGGGATCTTTTACTACACTATCATTGCTAAATAATTTCAGTTACTTATTTATTCCATCATTATTTAGTTAAGATGTAGGCAAGAGCTGCATGGCAGTGCTATGAGCTGCTACTACTGCATGCACTACTCACGGTCAACCTCTCACTACTGACGCCCTCACACCCAGGAGAGGTGTCCACAATTTTTTTCCATGATGACATGTTTACTGGAAGCCTGAGAAAGCAGAGGTGAGCCCCATGTTCTTGTAGATGTTTTAAATCTTATGTGGTACTAAAAAACTTTCCCAATTGTGTCACACAGTTTATGGATAATTAGAAAGATCAACCCCAGCTGTGTAATGCAATGGAAGGGTTATGGAAAATTACAAAGAGAATATATATATGAAGCAGTGCCAATAATATGCAAGTATACTGTATATGACTTCTGGATGACATTTTGCATAGTACAAAATGTTATACAAGTGCTTGGGTAGAGAGAGGAGAAAGGAGGGATATCATGTATAAAAAACTTTGAGTAAGTCCTCACCATTTAGTTTTACTGGAGATTTTAGACGAATCAATCTTTTCTGGCGAGTTGTACACATCTAATTTTGGGATAACTTTTAAAGGAAACGTGGATGAATCGCTGCTGGAATACTCCACGCCACCTAACTTCCACTCTCCAGCACGAGTAACGAATACACTACTGGCACATACATTGTAGTGAATCAAATTTCCATCATTGTTTAAGAAGCTCAGTCCTTTCTGTGAATAAATGTACAAATATTCTAACATACAAATAACACAAATAGTATATCACATGATTGAAGCACATATTACAATAATTATACACACATACACGATGGTACTAACTATAAAATCTGTTTACCCATCAACCAGCATATTTCCCATCATGAAATAAGCATCAGACATTACAAATATTTAGCCTCTCCTGTCATTACAGTATATCCTTATTTTCAGATACTGTAGCCAATCCCTCTGACCAGATTCTTCCACAATAACTGACTTCATAACTATGCAATGAAGTATCACTGCAAGGAAGCAGAATGGCATCACTAAGAGCTTAATTATAAAAACGATGCCCAAAATAAAAATATATTTGACCACTTAGCAACAAGAGAAGTGTAAACTCACAGTGACCTGTAGGAGCCCCCACGAAACAGCTGTGGCTCGATGTGCCGCCGTAAGAGAGTCGTCATTCAACCACGTTAACAAGGGTGTTACAGGCTCGGTTACTAGGTACACCAACTTGTCACTCTTGTAGGAAAATAAACAAATTCAAACATAAGAAGAGAATAACTGAGCAAATTTAAAATTACAATATTTATCATTATCTCATCTTTATTTGTATGAGGTTGGAAGGCATTTGCCAAAAATACAGGAAAACAATACATTAAATTATTTGTTTAAGATATTCAACATAAAGTACCTTGACATTCAATAGCAACAAGAACAACAAACATCAATGTACACCAACAAATTATCCTCATCATCATATCCAACACTTTTAAGAAGCTAGATGTAAAGCCCTTCTTATGAGTTGTCATGTATGAGCTACTTCCACTTAGCTTCAAGATAACCTCAAGATAGCCTTGTTCCCTCCATGTCTTGTCCTCACCCCACACACAGCCAACACTTTCTTGCCATATTATACTTTGGTCCACATTTGCTTTGACAGTCATCCCTCAAATATAAAAAATTACTTAAAGTAATCTACATATACATTTATCATAATGTGCGAGAAGAATGGCATCATCTGTATTCAACACATCTTATATACTCCTTTTATTTCTATCATACATTAAGTTTGTGTCCTCTAAAATTCTAACCTTGACACTTCCCTCACGATCCAATCCAAAATGCACTACACAACCTTTCTTTACCTTGCGATGATTTTGGGGCTCAACGTTCCCACGGCCTTGTCCCAAGGCCAGGCTTCCTGGGGACGGGGCATACATACGGGTCCCCCTCCCCTAGCATATATGTATTACCGACATATTTATTAAATCAGTTACATTTTGATATTTTCTCCTTCACTTGATCTAATTTATAAGAGAAGACTTTTTGCCGCATCCAACAACATTTCATCAACATCGTGCAGTCCCTCTCTTATATCACATGCATGCTCCAAGTCCACGAGTGCCATGTATACCTTATAATATTTCTCGCATGCCTTTTTTTTATTTACTATTGGACAAATGCAAATATCCGATCCCATTGTCATCCCTGACCAGCTTATCAGGTACAGTATTTTCTGCAGTCTTTGTCGAGTTTCATCGCAATGAATGCATCATCTCGAGTTTTGTTGCATATCAATGTCTCCAGACATCCTAGCACCAGTTTCCAGATGGCAAGACATTCCACAGGCATATGACACACATTTGTCCAACATGGGTCAAATAGTACCCATTGTCTAGCTACATACCCCTAACTCCTGGAACTCTCCTCCCCAAGAATAGACAGACTTGGGATGATGCCCAAAACTACATCTGAATCCAAGGAAAAGGAGAGATGAGGGGGGTAGAGGCACCCTCAAAAGAATTTCCTAACCCTACCTCCTCCCAAGGCATGGCCGTAAATAGGTTAAATATAGCATTAAGTAAATATGAATATTAACAGCAATACCAGGACAATTCAAAATGACTCAAGGGTGAGATTTGGCACACTTGCTGCTAACTGAATACCACTGATCTACACTATGTCTATTCTTGGCCAATTTTTTTACTTTTAAAACACCTATTTTAATGTGCTTTTTTAAATTATTTTATACTCGTCAAATACACTTGAAAAAAGGCATTAAATGAAAGCTGTTGTATCATATTAAGTTAGATATATGTATCCTATCAGCTGAAATAAAAATATTTTATGTCCATACAGTATTTAATAACAAATTGGCATAGTTATTTTAATCTCCCACTATCAGAAAACATACAAAGAATTTGAGGAATTTATATCAATACTGACTTGATATTATAGCAGATGGCTGGTATTTTAAGAAAGGGCCTAATGATATACCACAAGATGCTTGATACTATAATTGTGATCTATTATATCAGAGTACCTGATATTATTACATAAAGGATTGATATTATTACAAAGAAGGTTTGATATTATTACAAAGAAAGCTTGATATTCTAATGAAGGCTGCTTGATATTATTAAAGAAAGTCTAGATATTACTACAAAGAGTACCTGATATTTTTATAAAGACGACTTGATATTTACAACTGAAGACCTGATATAACACAGTTCCACATACTGGTACTATAATAAAGCTTAAGTGGTGCAATGTTAAGCCTTCTTTGTTTAAGTACTGTGTTAAAGAGAGAAAATATACTGTAATTCATTAAAGATAAAAACACATACCTCTAAACTATCAATGTAGGTTAGGATGCAGGGATGACGAAGTGTTTTAAGTTTCTTGACGGCTGCCTTTGCCACATCCAAGTACGATGTATTGCCATCTCTTATATCACATATGAACACACTTACTTCCTCTCCATTTTGCTGTAGAAATTATGAAAAATTATTTATATTTATAAATATACTATATATATATATATATATATATATATATATATATATATATATATATATATATATTTTTTTTTTTTTTTTTTTTTTTGGGGGGGGAGGGGAGGGAGGGGTTGATCTTGGCCTGGTCATTTAAAGTTTTTAGTGATCTATGGCGTGTGCATAGCATAATTATTACTTGATGCATCACTCCAAGAATTTAACTTTTTTAATTCTTTAGTCCTCCACTAGAAAGTGTTCATCAATCACATTAGTTCACTCATCATTGCAAGTCTTCAATAAGTGAAATAATGTCTAATGTCATTTCTAGTTTGCTAGATTCAGATCACACACATAATGTACTATATTTTCTCGTCTCGACGAGACATACTCATCTCTAACTTAGATGATATTTACAAAACAATATCAGTGTAAGAACAATGTAGATCAGTTGATCAGGTTCTGTGATTTGACCACGCACAGTACCTGTCTTCCCTTAACAAGAAGGCAGCAGTTTCTGGCTGTTTCTTACATCATTTTGAGACGCATGCTAGGCCTAGGAAAGGGTAGAGGGTTTTAAGCAGTGCTAAATTATACAGTATTACTTTTTTCTCTGCTTATTTCACAAAGTATGCACTTTAGACATACTTATCTGGCATTGTCAAGTGTCAAACGGCACATAGTTAGTTGGGGCATCTAGTCTGGCTTAAGTCACCCCCAGGTCAAACATGGCAAATGTAACCTGACCTAACAGAGGATAATCCACTAAAAAAAAAAAAGTACAGCTTGCAGCAACTGGCAAGGGACAACTCTTCCATGTCAGAATGCCTTAAATGCCCTTACAAAGCTGACCCTTCCTGTGACCTCTGGGCTACACAATACTTCTTCTTGATAGTAGGTGCAGTTTGTATGAAGGATTTGTCCTCCCGATGACTGCACCAGTACAGATGTTGGGAGAGGCGTTCACAATATATAAGTAATGCGAAACATTATAATTAAGTCTGCCCGAAACGTTATGCATGTTAGTGGCTTTGCAAGAATATAAAAATATCCCTCTAATGTAACCTCACCAACCCATTGTACCTTCTTGTAAATATATTATTATTTTTATATAAATAATTGACTATATAGCACGTCAAAATCCTAAATTAAAAAAAAAAATCTCTTATGAATATCCCACTGGTGGCCACATTTTCTACATGCTACATATAATTTAGGTCAAATGCTGACATACACACACATTATGAATATGTTAAAATGTATATACAAAGTCATTTCAAATGTGTTTGTAAACAATCACCCGTTTCTTTCCTCGGTGAAGCTTCCACACTGTTCTGTTATCATCACACACGATTTCTTCTCCAACTTCGTAGGGAAAGTTGCTCGCTGGGTCACGGGAAAATATTGACCACATCTTTCACGATTTTTGCAAAATATTTGTTGAAGCACCAAGAGTCCCCACGACCGCCCTGCTGTAAATTGCCAACACACACAAAACAAAGTTTGTAAGTTCGCTTACTAGCTGCAGACACAAAGTTGTGGCCCAGTTTACTTAAATATAGCTTTTTCATTCATATTTTTCCAAGCAAAATATGGATTCTGTTTCATGTATACTGCGCGAAGTATATCATATACTGACAATTTGTAAAAAGTAGTTATTTCAATATATTATGAGTTTGACGTAATCAAAACGAGTCTATGAAAGAATCAGCTGTCACAGCTGAGGGTAAAACAGAGCTACAATGTAGAGAAAACGGAATTTTGTTGCGGAATCGGCGGCCATATTGGATAACCTTCATTATAGGAATTACCTGAACAATCACATATTACCTCTCTTGTGGCCCTAACGGGAACAGAAAGCCGGCTGATTGTCAAATGTTACCCGATTGTTCCTAAGGACTATTTTCTAACTGCAGGTTGAAGTGAAGAATGTGTTGTCTTTGCAATTTTAATTACAGCTTCGGCGAGTAGGCAGTTCCATGGGTCTAAATTAATTCGTTTTGTCGGGATAGGAAGCCTGAGTATATAATAAGCTGTGACGAACTACTGACCCTCTCCACAATGCAGCCACATATGTGCTATACATCTTGCACTCCAATGCATACATGTCTAAAAACTGTAGCCTGTTTAACGCAACAGTAAAATGTGTACTTGGATGAAAAAACGATTCTTCGCGGCAGGGGATCGTATTCCAGGGACTATAGGATTAAGGACTTGCCCGAAACGCTACGCGTACTAGTGGCTGTACAAGAATGTAACAACTCTTGTATATATCTCAAAAAAAAAAAAAAAAAAAAAAAAAAATTTACTGTAATTAATTATTGATTTATAATTGCAAGTGATTCTACGTCATCCGTAAAATGCGCTCACTCTTTTAAGACACGATTGTAACATGTTCGTGTCCGCAGCTAGACACAAAGATGACAAAATTATTATTATATTTTTTTTTGTTATTAACAAGCTTAGGTATACACAGCAATGTGCTGCTACCCTATTCTATATGAAGGATTATACAGTGGTAGATCAAAAAGCAGCTACAAGCTCATCCAACATCCCCATCTCACAGGACGGTCAGTCATACTTGGAATCAGGAGAGAACATGAAATGTAAGACTGATCTATTAGTCTCCACTAGCAAACTCTTGGTACAGCACAAGAATATCTTCCAATATTCCTGAGTGTGTGAAGTAATTGCAGCGCTCAATGTACCTCATACCATTTGGTCTGAAATCACTGATAACAGGGTAATTACTGAAGATGGTACAGGGTCCATTTCACGTGGATTCCATCTCATGTTGGTCTCCGAGTGCAGTACAGAAGTGCTGAATTAACTAAAGGATCTGCTTTGAACAGAGTTGATTATAACTTTGGATGCCTATAAGCAACCTGATTACAATAATACACCAAGGTTTTCAACATCTTAAACAAAATAAAACTAGCACTAGCAATCCCGGGCGGGGCAGAAATGGTTGAGCACATTTCCTTTCACCTAGCAGTGAGTAGGTACTCGGGAGTTAGTCAGTTTGTTAGGGGGTTGCATCCTGGGCGGGGTCAGTAATTCGGCCTTGGTGGGGGAGACGTCGATAAAAGCCAAATGGGTATGAATACACTCTGGCCAACCCGTCCTCAGACCAAGTCTATTCTATCCAGCGGTCGACCCCAAAGACGCCTTCATCAATTTTATTAATATTCTGTTCATTCAAAACAAAACTTTTCTCAAATATAAATGAATATTATGATTTATTAGAATATTGTGCATATTTAGACACTGGTTAGGTTAGGTGTTTAGGTTCTGATGGGGATTATTTGTATTTGTAGTATTTCAAGGGGTTGTCATAGCCAGGGGGTGGTAATGGGGGACGAGCTCCCATGACCTATAAAATGCTCCTATACGGCATGCGTCTCCAATATCCTCTGACAACCAAGTCCAACTCCTGGCCTGCACGGGTGGCTTAGTCTTTAAGTCCGGCGGAACAGCTTTTACTGGCCCATCAGTTACAGCCCCGCTCCTGTGCCAGGTAAGTCCAGTACGGGCTCATCATAACCCGTGCTGCTTTGGAACTTTTGTTCTAAGTAGCTGAATCTAAAACAACAACAACATGCTTTTACTGACAGGAGAAGGGGCGAGGGCGTGCATCTGGCGCCTTAAGTAATCACAAAATAATTGTAATCATTGGAAACTTTTTCTGAAACATTTCCCGTAAGTTGCTCAAGATTCTCCCGGAAAGTGCTGTCAATATTTTGTATTTTTTTTCACTCATTTTCTTGAAATAGTTTTCCGTCATTTGCATTCTCGTTTCATATTCAGCGATGTTATCTCGAGGGAGACTGGTAGTAACTGGTTTCCTCCTGTTAGTGTGGCCGCCGTCCCACAGTGGTGCTGTAGCACCACTGTGGCACCACTGTGGGGAGGGGTTGTCGTCACGGTCATCTCATCAATTAAGCGTCGTGTCGGGCCCAGCTGGTGTTCTTGCAGCGGGCTGCACTGAGCAGGTGGGGCCAGTCCCAGCTGAGCTTGAGCCCAGTGAGTGTTTGCGTGGTCCTCGGCTCCAACCACTATGCCGAGCATTAACACCCTCCTCGCCCTATCTTGTGCATTTCATTGGAGTTTTGTTAGCCTCCCCGTCATTTGTTTCCTTGCTTAACTCGTGTCATTTTCGAGAGCAACTTGCTAGGTTGTGGGGCCAGAACACAGCGATGATGCATGATACCGTTTCATATGTCCATTTTGCTGGCAATTGAAGAACATTACTGCTCCGGACACCCAGTGGCATAAAGCACTAAGTGGACAATATAGGAAACCTGAATGTTGGTGATGGATCATCTGCTCACCGTTCCATATGATGATCACTCGGTTGGCTGAGTGATGAAGATTAAGCCACCACAAGAGGTGGCACAGGCATGAATAATAGCCCGTAAAATTCTCGGTGATGCGCTGAGTTTTTTATACTCTCGGCAGGTTTTCAACAATGGGCAGAGGGAAAGTGGTGGGGTAATTAGTGACAAGATACTCCTTATACTTGCGGATTCTACTAGCGCTGTCATGGTTGGCTTGGTGAGAGGGATGTCTCCCACCTGACCCTTGAGGAGGTCGTCGATTAGTGTTTCATGACTTCTCCCTATAAATATGTAAGATGACGCCATGGTAGACCCGCAACTGTGCCAGTTAAGTCCACTACGGGCTCACCATAGCCCGTGCTCCTTAGGCACTTTTATTCAGAGTAGCTGAATCTAAAAACAAGAACAACAGCTATGCTAGAGCAAACTACGTCAATTGGGGAACAGTTCTTGACATAAGCAGTAGAGGGTTCCTTATGCCATGTGAATTTCTTAGTATGTGTGTTGTTCCTGGTGAGAACTCCAGTCTCATACTGTCGTCTCGAGGCAAAAGGGCTGGAAGATCTTCTCCCTCGGCACAAGGCTCTGTGTTGGTGCACTTATCGCCCTCTTAAAGGTTTGTTTGTTCTCGTCTCCTTTCCTTGCCTGTTTCATACTTATCAGCGCGCGGCGGCGGGCCTCCAGGGCGGTCGTGGGGAGACGGCGACGACGCTCTACTGGCCTTCTCGTCTTGGGGCAGCTGCCGTGTCTTCAAGGACACCACACCAGCAGCACTAGTTGAACCCCTGCGCCCGCGATCGTCTATAAGTGTTGGTAGACGATCGCTGGTACATTTATGGGCTATTCATGCCCGTGCCACCACCTCTTGGGTGGCTTAATCTTTATCAATCAATCAACCGCTGGTGCAGTGGTCATCGTTCCAGTGTTGTTGGTGGGGAGAGCTGGGTTCGATTCCTCTAAGGGGTCGCTAAGGTGTATGCTTGGGGGACCATTCAAGCTTTACTCAAATACATCTATAAGAGATGTATATAAGAGATGTCTGTCCACAGTTGGAGGTCAGACGCTTGGGACTAGTCTCACTCAAATTGGCAGAGGGAATGGTGTGGGGTACGGGATGAACATAGGCTGGTCGGGGTCGCCAGAATTCAAAAGGGAACAGTGTGCCAGGGTCACATTCACACCCCCACCACGATTTTTTTGCACTGCCCGCCAATACACGGACGAATCACAAATTGGAAAGAGGGAACTATTATATTATATGTGATTGTCATGATAGTTATGTAAGTACATGGATGGATGGTTGGATAAATAGATGGCTGGATGGATGGATGGTTGGATAAATGGATGGATGGATGGTTGGATAAATGGATGGATGGATGGTTGGATAAATGGATGGATGGATGGTTGGATAAATGGATGGATGGATGGTTGGATAAATGGATGGATGGATGGTTGGATAAATGGATGGATGGATGGTTGGATAAATGGATGGATGGATGGTTGGATAAATGGATGGATGGATGGTTGGATAAATGGATGGATGGATGGATGGACAGATGGGAGATAGACAGACCCAGGCAATGCCGGATATCTCCTAGCATATATATATATATATATATATATATATATATATATATATATATATATATATATATATATATATATATATATATATATATATATATATATATATATATATATAGACCATTAATTGACCCGGCCAGGATTCGAACCCATGCCGTCCAGGATCACCCCTAAATGCACACAGTACCATGACCACCGCACCAATGATCAATGATAGACGATAATTGGTGCGGTGGTCACGGTACTGTGTACGTTTAGGGGTGATACTGGACGGCATGGGTTCGAATCCTGGCCGGGTCAATTAGAGTTCTTAGTGATCTATGGCTTGGGTGTTCCTGCATTTGCTCACAAAGAGAGAGAATTGATTACGATCTTGGAATACTTTTGATCAGCCTAAGGGCAGCAATACCGGGAACTACAACAAAATTCAACCCAGTTATACCATCTATAATCATATTATTATCTAGGAAGAACCATACATATACGGATTATATATCTAATGCCAGCAGACTTCTAGATATTACCGCTGCTAGGCTTAGGATTGACTTCAAGTACCTCTGGGAGTTTACACCACCTGATGAAGCTAAACTGACCAAATGTGAACTTTGTCACTCTCATACTTACGTCACTATGTAAGTGAATGTGAAGAAATCACAGAATATTATTACAAATGTTCAAGACATGTGTAAGTACTTGATTCAAAATGATGCACTCACAGAAATCTTAACCAAACATCCCAAGTTTACTTACTGTAGGTAATGTATGTATATGACAGTAAACTCTCTGCAGCTGCAAGCTCAACAAGCTCAACAGAGCAGATGTAAACTGCTCTGTATAGCGACGTGTGGGTTACTTCTTGATCCACTTGTGCTGTAAAAGATTACTGATGTACTTAAGTTTTTTTAACTAGCTTCGCAAGATTGTTAAGCGCTTTTCGAATGAATTTGGTGATACAGATTCCAAGCTCGTTATATTTACCTGAGGGCCACTAACCCTAGTGGCCTCGACGAGGACAGGAAGCCGGCGGCTTGTCGATGGTCTCCCCATTTACCTTGATGATCTTTTCCAGTTATACGTTTAAATTTAACCGAGTTTTTGCATTTACGGCTTCGACGGGTAAGCGGTTCATGGGTTAATAACCCTAAGGGTGAAAAAGCATCCTGTGTTCTCAGTCCTACATTGTGGCTTGTTGAGCTTAAAACCGTTGCTTCTTGTTTGTGTCACATCTGACCTTTTGAAAAAATTGTTCGGATGTATATGTGTCTCTGTAACCATTGTCCACTACCGCCCACGGGATGTGTATGGAGTTACCTTGAGGTTACCTTGAGGTGCTTCCGGGGCTTAGCGTCCTCGCGGCCCGGTCGTCGACAAGGCCTCCTGGTTGCCGGACTGATCAACCAGGCTGTTGGACGCGGCTGCTCGCAGCCTGACGTATGAGTCACAGCCTGGTTGATCAGGTATCCTTTGGAGGTGCTTATCCAGTTCTAAGCTGGGGTGCATAAGAAATGAAGAGACTCACTGTACCACAAGACCCTGCACCTGGTCCATAGTGGACCTCGGCCAGTAATTGACGGCCACATTCACGGGGGCAGCAGTGGGCCGCCAGTCATCATGCACAATAATTCCCCTGCCAGCGTGAAGGAGACTCCACGTGTTATCAAGGTCGCAGCTCCTTCCCTCCCAGCCTCCCTACCACCCCTCCCCCCCTCCCTCCCATAACCATCTTTCCCTCCCATCTTTCTGCCTAACCACTTGAGGCTGGACGGTCTCGTTTCATGCAGGTCAGGGTTCAATCTCCGACCGTCCAAGTGGTTGGGCACCATTCCATTCCTCCCCCCGACCCATCCCAAATCCTTATCCTGACCCTTTCTATGTGCTATACAGTCGTATATAGCTTGGCGCTTTTCCCCGAATAATTTCCTTCCCCCACCTTTCCCTCCTTTCCTTATTCCTCCCGTTCTCTCTCCCAGTGGACAAATGTTCGAGTTATGTTAAGTCAACGTTCTCAACATTGATTCAGCGGTATTAACGTTGAGTAAACTTTATCGACTTTGAGTTAACGTTATCGACGTTCAATCAACGGTATTTTTTTTTTTTTAGATATATACAAGAGTTGTTACATTCTTGTACAGCCACTAGTACGCGTAGCGTTTCGGGCAGGTCCCTGGAATACGATCCCCGCCGCGAAGAATCGTTGTTACAACCAAGTACACATTTTACTGTTGCGTTAAACAGAGGCTACAGTTAAGGATTTGCGCCCAGTAAATCCTCCCCGGCCAGGATACGAACCCATGACAAAGCGCTCGCGGAACGCCAGGCGAGTGTCTTACCACTACACCACGGAGACTGTTGAATTAACGTTATCGACGTTCAATTAACGGTATTGACGCTGAATGAACTTTATCAACGTTGATTCAAGATTGTCAACGTTGAATAAACTATATCGACGTTGATTCAACATTATCGACGTTGAATGAACTTTATCGGCGTTGATAACAGACGAAATAAATTGAAGTCTGTAAACAGACGTCCAAAATATTGTCCAAAACTCTATGGACAATCACACCCATATTTCAGTCTTCATACAACCTGTCCTCAAATTCAAAAAATTCAAATTCAAAATTCAATCCTCCTACAAAGAACGTCACATTTCGATCGTATGCGTTACATAAGGCCAAAAATTGACGTACTAGAAAAATGGAAGCGGCTGGCGAAAGTGACGTACTGTCCCGTTTTCTGTTTTGGCTCCTCTGGTAGGTTAAAAGAGGACACTTTAAATTGTCCGTTTTCTTGACGTTGGGAAACCGTAGGAGGATAAACTACTTGATAGGATTCGTTGGTTTTCGTAACAGGAGCAAATCCTACATAATTACCAGCACGGGAGTCGAACCCGTTGACACTCGTCATGCAATCAGAAAACGCTAACCCCAAATGAAAACGTGTATCCCCAAATGGCTACACATTTTCTCTTATAATTATAGATATGGCACAGTGCCGTTTTCTCATGATTTCTGGCAAATTTGTACAACCAGGCTGTGAATCACACGCGCGCCCAACACACTGATTTACCAGTCCAGCAACCAGGAGGCCTGGTCGAGGACCGGGCCGCGGGGACGTTAAGCCCCGAAATCATCGCAAGGTAACCGCAAGGTGACCGTAAAGTAACCGCAAGGTAATCATTCCATTTTCTTCACTACACTCAATTAGTTTCACATATAACTCATCAGTTTCTGCAGCTTTTCCATATTTTGATTAATATTCATCCGTGTATGTCTTTAATATTTCCGTTGTCTTCTCGGCCTGTCTCCTTGTTTTCGTAATATCTTCCAGTTTTATGAAGTTTTCTTCTAAACTCATATTTTACTTTATTTTATTTTCTTCTTAATTAATATTTTCATATATTTTTTACCATCATCTTGAGTCATTTTCTCCGTAAGTCTGCACCAACAGAATCTCCCTTTATCATCACTCGCTCATGCTTCATCATCACAGTAAGCCTTCACCCTCATCATTCCATCAGGTTGTGCAACATCACACGTTGTTGTTGTTTCAGATTTAGCTACTCAGAACGAAGTGTCCATGTAGCACGGGCTATGGTGAGCCCGTAACTCAACATCACACACACCTACTTGCCAATATCCACTAGGTCTGGTGGACAGAGCGTCGGCCTGGCTTCCTGCAGGGCGGCGAACGCATGGTCTCTCATGTTCCCAATAGACACATGAGTTCCTTCACCGTATCACCATACCCCAGCTCCTATCCTCTCCAAATAATCCTTCCAATTGCGTTGGGCGGGGACAGGCAACCTGTGTGTATATATATATATAATAGGGTTATATCGAGGTCGTATCGTATTTTACCCAAGGTAAAACTAGCGGTCCTCTCCCCACAACAGATAACTCTCCCGGGTAGCCTCTGTCCTCACCATGGGCCAGATTCACGAAGCAGTTACGCAATCAGTACATCTTTTCTCAATCTTTGGCGGCTTTGTTTACAATTATTAAACAGTTAATGAGCCCCGAAGCACCAGGAGGCTGTTTATAACAATAACAACAGTTGACTGGGAAGTTTTTATGCTTGTAAACTGTTTAATAAATGTAACCAAAGCCGTCAAAGATTGAGGAAAGATGTACACGTTCGTAAGTACTTGCCAAACTGCTTGGTGAATCTGGCCCCTTGTCCCGGCATGCACGTGTTGAGCTGGTCGTGACCGCTCTCGTGACCCTGGAGGGAGGTACAGTGACGGACATGAAGGACACACTCGGCCCTCCGAGGCTACATTCACGGAAATAAATATATATATAAAGATAAGGCAAACAATTTAACAAATCATATCAGAGATCTGATCTGATAGGCAACAATTTGCCACTCCAGCGTCTGGGTCATTGACGCATATATATATATATATATATATATATATATATATATATATATATATATATATATATATATATATATATATATATATATACAGTAAGCCTTCACCCTCTATATATATATATATATATATATATATATATATATATATATATATATATATATATATATATATATATATATATATATATATATATATATATATATATATATATATATATACAGTAAGCCTTCACCCTCTCTCTCTCTCTCTCTCTCTATATATATATATATATATATATATATATATATATATATATATATATATATATATATATATATATATACACATAACGGTAAGTGGTGTGCCACAGAGGTCCATTTTGGGGCCAACCCTTTTTGTCATATACATCAATGACATAGATAAGAACATTACAAACCACATCATCAAATTTGCAGATGACACTAAGATCTATGGTAAAGTGGGATGTGAAGGTGATAATGAGACCTTACAAAGAGATCTACATGAACTCCACAAATGGTCAGATGACTGGAAAATGATTTTTAATGTCCAAGACCTTGCAGGTGAGGCATAAAAATCCACGTGACACCTAAAAAATTAACAGCACTGCTTTACAACAGAGTGATGAAGAAAAGGACCAGAATCCATTAATCACTGAAAGTTGCACAAGTGGGAGCGGCAGTAAAAAAGCGAACCAAACCCTGGGAATAATCAAGCGTACCTTTACCTTCAAGGAAAAGAAAGTAATCGTGCAACTGTATAAGTCTCTGGTGCGCCCCCACCTGGATTATTGCATCCAGGCATGGAGACCTCATCTTCAGAAAGACAGCTGCTCTGGAGAAGGTGCAACACCGGGCAACAAAAATCATACCAGAGCTAAGTCATCTCTCGTATCAGGAACGGTTGAGGGCCACTAGGCTAACAACACAGCTGACCAGGCAGGAAAGGGCACATCTTATCGAAACTTTTAAAATACTGAACAATTTGGAGGCTGTAGATCCGGACAATGTCTTCAAAAGGTCAGATGTAACACGAACGAGGAGCAACGGGTTCAAGCTCAACGAGCCACAATGTAGGACAGAAAACAAGAGATGCTTTTTCACCCACAAGGTTATAAACCCGTGGAACCACCTACCCGCCGAAGCCGTAAACGCCAAAACTCTTTTGGGTTTCAAAATACAGCTGGAAAAGATCATCAGGGCAAATGGGGGGGGGGCTTTGACAAGCCCCTGGCTTCCTGTACATGTCGAGGCCACTAGTATTAGTGGCCCTCAGGTATATTCAGGTAAATATCATGCACTCCAGCCCCATCTTGGGAGTGTAAAATGTTACAGAAGCATCTAATGGATTCGGGAAATGAACTCCAAAATTCGATGAGTTGGAAATATAATTTTATTAATTTGTATCATAAATTTATCAAAACGTCTTTTCACTGAAAGTTCAAAATTATATTCTTTGACGTAAGCTTTGACGTAAGCTAATATTTCCTCTTTATAAAACGCATCGTTCATCCTTTTCACTCTAAAATATCTATTTAAATTCACGTTTTGGCCTGGATCTCCGACAGGATAACGAAATTTCCCATTTTTCTGCATTCAGTTAACTAAAAAGAACTAACGATAACACAAACGATAGCAGTCGTCGAGATGACGCAACACAAGCCTTAATTTTTGTTGTACCTGGCAATGCTTCAAGGAAATTCTGCACTTCACAAGCAACCTCTATTTGAGAATAGCTAAATACAGCAGTATACTCGTGTGTCACACTGTAACTGCATGGTAACACAAGGATTCATATGTCACACTGTAACTGTATGGTAACACAAGGACTTGTATGTCACACTGTAACTGTATGGTAACACAAGGACTTGTATGTCACACTGTAACTGTATGGTAACACAAGGACTTGTATGTCACACTGTAACTGTATGGTAACACAAGGACTTGTATGTCACACTGTAACTGTATGGTAACACAAGGACTTGTATGTCACACTGTAACTGTATGGTAACACAAGGACTTGTATGTCACACTGTAACTGTATGGTAACACACAAGGACTTGGTATAGTAACATACCATACATTGTATGGTAACACAAGGACTTGGACTTGAAACACAAGGACAAGCACTTAGAAGAGATACGAGGATAAGGTTTTAGGATTGGACGGAGAGCAGGAAAGTTGCCCAACCACCTGGATGGTCGAGGATTGAACGCGGACCTGCAAGAAACGAGACTAGCTCTACCCTCCAGTCTAAGTGGTTGGGCAAGTCTGAGCCTTATTACTTAGTACTATTACTAAGTCTGAAGCATTATAAAGAAGTTATATTGAGGTTATCTTGAGATGATTTCGGGGCTTAGTGTCCCCGCGGTCCGGTCCTCGACCAGGACAGCTGACTGACTCCCAGGTACCTATTTACTGCTAGGTAACAGGGGCATCAGGATGAAAGAAGTTCTGCCCATTGTTTCTAGCCGGCGCCCGGGATCGAACCCGGGACCACAGGATCACGCGTCCAGTGTTCTGTCCGCTCAGCCACCGGCTCACTCAGAAGAAGAAGAGGAAGAATATTTACGAACAGAAGAACACGAATAACTATTCAGAATAAGAATAATTCAAAGAACAAGAAGAACACAGAAGAATATGTTTGTAAACAGTCTCAAAATGAATTCATAGAATTTTCATTGAACATTCAAGATTTACTAAAAAAATTATTTGCTTTTAATTAATTAATTACTAAAAAAATTATTTGCTTTTAATTAATTAATTACTAAAAAAATTATTTGCTTTTAATTAATTAATTACTAAACAAAATTAATTGCTTTTTAAAATAACAAGTCACTGTTCAAGTCTTGAAGTTAATGCTGATTGTGTTGAAAAATACGACCAATTAAGCTGTCCATAACATCTCGAAGGTTTTTCTAAATTGTATTATCTGTAAGCAGATAAGAACATGTCCCAGAATAATGCTAGCCATCAGTATGCTTGGTTGAGGAGCACTGATAAAATACGTGATAGTGGCAAAGAAGTCAAGTATATGCAACTAAGTGGGGGGTGGGGACACGAGGCTGCGTCCTGGTATCTCTGCCCTCTTCCTCCACTCCCCTCTTTCATCTCTCTTCTCCTATCTTCCCCTCCTCTCTTCCCATATCCCCCGTCTACAAGTTTATTCCCTTCTCTCTTCTCTTCCCTTCTCATACCTCTTGCCATTCTCCCCTCTTCACCTCTCTCCCCCTTTCTCCTTCCTTCTCTTCAAACATTACCCTCCCTTTCTCCCCCCTTTCTCCTTCCTTCTCTTCAAACATTACCCTCCCTTTCTCCCCCCTTTCTTCCTTTGTCTTTGTGTCGCCTATCAATAACTGTCTGTCTCTGTCTTTGTCTGCCTGTCACTGTCTCTTTGGTATCTCTGTCATTTATACAAAAATAATATAATAGCGCCTAACAGACATGCAGTTAATCTCCGGTTGGAGGAGCCGAGCGGCGTGAAATATTAACAATATATAATAATTTTCCTTTGGTTTTGAGAAAGAGGCGAGACTTAAGAAAAACCTTTGAAGCTGACGACGAATCGTCTGTTTTATTTCTGTTATTTTTTCCGAGATCAGTGCATAATTTTTCATATTATTGTAAGAAAGAAATTTTGGGTGAAATTTGTATTTTTCAAATATTTGGCTATAGGCGTAGCCGGTGGGCAGTGCTAAAATCAGTCGTGGGGGTCAGTATGTGACCGTGGCACGCTGTTCACTTTTGAGTTATGGCGACTTTGACCAGCCTTTGCCCATCCCGTACCACAGACCATTCCGCCTACAAAGTTGGGTGATGCTAATCCCAAGCATCTGGCCTACAACCCTGGACAGACAATCAAACATTTCCTCTAATAGATGTAGATAATATCTGAATATGAAACGCAGCAATTAACTGGTTTCTGTGGATGTCACTCAACATAATAATATATTATGTATAGATGAATTATAAAGATGTATATTGTATACATTATACATCTTTATAATTCATATACCATATGAGATGTATTATAAAGAACCTACTGTATACTTTTAAACCAAAGTATGCTATGACAACCATTCATTTGTCCAATAACAGAGCCACTGGAATCGGCACTGTACGATTTATAACGAAAAGCTTTTACGTAATTGCTAAGAATTATATACTATCCTATCGCAAAATAATCTTTATCACTCATTGGTCACGATGATAAGTCAGTACTTGCGATTACAGCCGTTGACTTTGGGGGTCTATGTTGTTCGGGTGAGTGAGGGCGCCGGGGCAAGTACGGGCAGCCTGTGCCACCAGCCTCCACCATCCTGGTCAGCCTGCCGTCAACAACTGTCAAGTGAACGAACCATCAAGCGAACGAATGTTGGATGTTGTGCAGAGAAAAATCTCAGACTAAACGCTAGTTTAAACAGGACACGACGTTTAAGCGGTGACAAAATCTAATAAACTCAATGTGTTGATCAGATCATCAATTCTCAAAGGTCTACCAGGATTTCTATTCAGTGAGTGTTACAAATACATCAGTAAAGAGAAGGCTTATGTAGCTCGCAAAGAAACAATTACTCAGATTTTACTTTAGCAAACAAAACATTAGCAATCTTATCGATCGTTGGAATTGTTATATGAATGAAGATGCCACCAGTGATGCTGATTGTGTTGGGCTGTCTAGGCTTCACCACAGGCGCCGTGAGCTCCAGTGACGTCTACCTAGATACCTTCCGAAGTAATGTTTACCTGGAGTCCTTCCAGAGCGATGTTTACCTGGAAACCTTCCATAGCGGCGTATGGAAGGTCCCGGAGGACACGCCTCTCAACCTCACACTGTCTCTCGGGTTCAACGCCAGTGACGCCGTGTGCAGTGATGGACGGGACCTGACAGAGGCGTGGCTGGAGGTGACGGTGGTGCTGGACGAGGACTGGAAGCTGGACATAGTAAACAAGAGCGTGCAGTTCAGGGTGGCGGAGGTGTGTGCCAGAGTCAACAAGAGCCTGGCCTTCTCCGGCTACTACTGGGGACTCACCAAGCTGGCTTTCTTCCTCACCCACAACGACCTCGACCCTTACTTTACTAATGCAACCTTACTGAGGGACGATCTTAGGGTAGGTGACTTTTAATACGTAACGAAATAACAGTCATGAAATAATGAAAGAAAAAAAATAATATTAATAGTGGTGGATCCAGTTATTTTTAGTCCACAAATATTTAATGCTGGAATTTTGGGAATTTTGCCCTAATATGTACTGACAATTAATTTTAAAAGATATTTATTTATACTTTATAACTATATATATATAAAGGCAATGGATGTTTGTCTGTGTGTTCTAAGTTAAAGGCCAGATACTTGTGGCAATATGCAAAGGTTATGAAGAGAAGGGAAGGTGTTGAAGGGTAAGGAAAGTGAGGAAGAGTAGGAAAGTGGTGAAGGTGATGGAAGGTAATGAAGGGTAAGGATGGTGGTAAACGGAAGAGAAGATGGTGAAGGGTAGGAGAGTTAGTAGATAGGGAGCCCAGCGGTGCCAGGATAGTGATGAAGGTTAACTATGGACACAAAGATGAAGACAGTAATTTAATGAAGGTGGTTATGAGATAGTCTGTGTAGTGTAGATGGTTGCAGTGTAACAAGTTGTGTGTAGGGAAGACGGTTACAGTGATGATAACTGTGAGTTCAGAGTGTGTGTGGTGAAGATGGTTACAGTAATGAAGTTACTGTAATTGCAACTCTCTCCCTACATCCACCCTCTTCCTTACCCCTCTCCACTTTCAGCCTCTTCATCTATCCCGCCCCCCTCGCCCTCTCTCCTTCCCCCTCTTCCCTCTCATCTACCCGTATTTTTCACCTTCCTCTCTACCCCAGTGTTTCTTCGTCCCTCTTTCTACCTTTTTCCCCTCTCCAAACTCCTCACCCTATCTCCCCATTGACCCCCTCCCCTTCTCCACATCCCCTTCGTCCGACGCCTCGTCCTCCCCTCCCCTCCCTCTCCTTCTTACCCCCTCTCAGAAAAATTATGATTAAGAAGTACTGACACAACTGTATGGATATCTCAGAAAAAAATATATTTTACAATCACTAAACATTCTAGGAAGATCACACCAAATCGCATGAGGGGTGTCTATAACTGCTAATATTTGTTAATTTAACTTAGGCCTACCCTGGCCAGCCTATGTCCGTCCCGTAACCCAGACCATTTCTCCTGTAAATGTGGGTGAGGCTAGCCCCAAAAATGTTTGGCTTCCAACTTTAGCCAGCCAGACAGATAGACATTTTCCCCTTGTTGCTATATAGGTATTAGGAAGTTACCTTGAGGTTACCTTGAGATGGATTCAGGGCTTAGCGTCCCTGCGGCCCGGTCCTCGACCAGGGGCCAGATTCACGAAAGCAGTTACGCAAGCACTTACAAACGTGTACATCTTTCCTCAATTTTTGACGGCTTTGGTTACATTTACTAAACAGTTTACAAGCATGAAAACTTCCCATTCAACTGTTGTTATTGTTATAAACAGCCTTCTGGTGCTTCGGAGCTCATTAACTGTTTAATAATTGTAAACAAAGCCGCCAAAGATTGAGAAAAGATGTATAGGCTCGTAAGTGCTTTCGTGAATCTGGCTTCAGAACTCCAGGAGGGTGTACCCGGCGGTACCCGGGGTAGTCTATTTCTCTCCTGACCCCCATTCCACCTGTCTTGTTTTGTCCCCTTCTTCCATCCCAATTTCTTCTCCTCTTCCCTCCTTTCCTACCCTTCTTCCCTCTTATCTCCCCCATTTCCCCACTTGCTCCACCCTCTCCCCTCTTCCACATACAACATGGAACAGAGACATTTTAATTGACATATATATAGAAGGGTGACCCGGCTGAATCCGGGTCACCCTTTCAACTCTATCCTGCTCATTCCCCCTCTTCACCCCCCATCTCTTCCCTGCTCCCCTCTCGTCCCCATCCTCTTGGGCCGTCCCCTCGTCCTTCCCCTTCTTTCAGAAAAATATATTATTAAGAAGCACTGAAACAGCAGTATGGGCCTAAGAAATTGAAGCCATTCCCCCCAAAACGAAAGTACTTATATTAAGTATTTGTCAGAAAGTACCAAATGTGTAGTGGTGGTCCGCCAGTAACTTAACTTTTGTATTATTGAATCTGAACAAACTGGAAACGTTTTTAATCGCAACATAAATATAAGACCTAACCTAATTTCTCCTGTGCCTTGACCTACTATATATATAGCACAGATATGTGCTATACTAGGCCCTAAGAATATTTAAGTTTGGCTTTTAGCTTTATTTTATCTTGACTCAATACAATTAAACGTATAAAAATTGATTTACTGGAAATACATCACTACATATTGGTACTTTTGACCAATTAATTGCTATAATTACTATCGTCTCAGGAGAATGGGTGTAAGAAATTATTTTAGGCTATTAACAATTCTACGTTTATCACACGCCATATTACACACTTTATTTATTTATTGATATATATACAAGAAAGTACATTGGGATTGTGAGGATACATAGCATAGTAATTACATTAAAGAGTTGAGACACTTCACTCCCACCCCTTAGAGTCTATGGAAATGGCGAGAGAGAGGGAGGTTGTATATTATATAGAGGTTGAGACCTATATAGGTCTTTATTATTACAGATATTTCTTAAAGTATTTAACTTAGGCCTACCCCGACCAGCCTATGTCCATCGCCAGACTTCAAGAGTGAAGAGCGTGTCAGGAGTCACATTGTGACTCCACAATGATTTTAGGAGCTGCCCGCTGGCTACATATGGCTGAATGTTTTGAAAAAACAAACAGAACATTTTTTCTTATTGAAATATATGCCATTATCATTGATCTCGGGAAAATTTAAAAAAAATCTGTTACCCATACTTTGGCTGTAGTAGCATAAAACAGATGATCCTTAAGATGTTGAAGTGTTAGGAAGACGGTGAAGTTTAGGGAAGGTGGTGAAGGAAAGCGATGTAGGGGAGGGGTAGGGAAAGTGGTATGGGGTAGAAACGGTGACGTGTAGGGCAGGTGGTGAACAGTAAGGGAAGACGGTGAAGAGTTGGGAAGGTAGTTAAGGGAGTCGGTCGGCCGAATGGACAGCACGCTGGTCTTGTGATCCTGTGGTCCTGGGTTCGATCCCAGGCGCCGGCGAGAAACAATGGGCAGAGTTTCTTTCACCCAATGCCCGTTACCTAGCAGTAAAATAGGTGCCTGGGTGTTAGTCAGCTGTCCCGGGCTGCTTCCTGGGGGTGGAGGCCTGGTCGAGGACCGGGCCGCGGGGACACTGAAAGCCCCGAAATCATCTCAAGATAACCTCAAGAAGATAGACTGCAATGAAGGGTAAGGAAAGGAATGATAGGTAGGGAAAGTGGTGGTGGAGATGGAGAGTAGTGATGGTAGAGAAGGTGGCGTCGGATCTGTGAGAGGGAGAGAGGTGGGACGTGCTTCTGTTGACCAGGGGCAAGGAGCAAGACTTAAGGGCTCTATCCCACCTTTTATGCCACTCAGGTCAAAGAATAAATAACGACAAATTTCTGGAAATTTTCCAGAGATCAGTGAATAACGTTGTATATTAGTAAAAGAATTGATTTGATTGATTTATGTTTTAAAAATATTTCCAAAGAATAAAATAGTTCCCATTTGGCTTCGAATCTGTGGAAGGGTGGTGGGTCTGTTTTCGATTAGAGGGGGTGGGAGACGAGGAGGGGGGACTATGTTGAATTTATATGTTTTATGGTGCTATGGCAAAAATATGAATAGCAGAAAAATTTTTAATTTTCCCGAGATCAGCTAACAATGTTGTATATTAGCATAAGAATTTTTTGTTTTGAAATGTTTGTTTTCATTATATTTAGCTAAGTGTAGCCGACGGGCAGTGTAACAAAAATCAGAGTGGGGGCTACAGCGTGATCGTAGCAAGCTGTTCCCTCTTGAATTCTGGCATCCATGATCAGCCTATATCCGTCTTGTACCCCAGACCATTCCCCCTGCAAAGCTGGGTGAGGCTAGACCCAAGCATCTGGCCTACAACCTTGAATAGACAAACTCTCATATAATTATGCTAGGGAGATACCTGGTCTGTCTGTCTAGCCTCCTCTCTATCTTTTTCTCTCTCTCTATCTATCTATCTTTTTTAAATATATTTTTCTATATCTCAGTTTCTATCTATATCTGTCTTTGTTTATCTCCACCTCTATCTAGCTCCACCTATCTTTCTTTCTAACTAGCTCTCTCTACCCATCTTTCTATCTCTATATCTATATTTGTCTTTTTTTTTATCTAAACCGTTCTAGTTCTCTCTAAGTCTAGTTCTTTCTCTGTCTATTTCTCTGTATCTTGTCCTTTCATCTTCCTCCCTGTCCCCGTCTCATCTTATATACCTGAATCACATCCCGATTTCATTTCAGACTTCATTAAAATCGCACGAAGGGGGTTGGATAACAGGTTATATTTCTTAAAGCATGTAACTTAACGCTCCTTCGACTAGCTTATGTCCGTCCCGCATTGCAGACCATTCCCCTGCCAATGTGGGTGAGGCTAGCCCCAAGCGTCTGGTCTCTGACTTTGGACAAATAATCATACATTCTCTTTTAAAGTATATATATATTATCATACACAATTTAGCAACACCTGTGTTGCGATATCAGGCTATATAACCAGTCAGTAGATTATATTGAATTATTTATTTTTGATAATGGGAATTATTTGTGCACTCTGCTAAGCCGTGTCCATCTTGCAGGTCATCGTAGACAGGAAGGGTCACGTGCTTGACCTCATCTTCATTATCTTCGGGTCAATTTTCATGCTGTTCAACAATGTCAACATGGGCGCCCAGCTCGACCTGGAGATTATCAAGGATGTTCTTCGGCGACCTCTGGGCCCCGTGTGCGGCTTCATATCTCAGTTTGCCTTCATGCCCCTGGTCAGTCTGGTTTTATTAACAATTATACTAATATTATCATAAAGCCCCAACTCACACATGAAAGTGACCACGTTCTAGCCCGTCTTGGATCCTTATTAACTCGTAACCACGTTACTGTGACTTATTCTCTACAATTAACCATGTGTATATAGGCTTAAGTTATTAGCAACATATTAGTTAATGTACTGAAAAACGAGGGTTATGTTCTGATAAGGAGAAAATATAACTATGTATTCAGGGTCCTGAAAAAAAATGTGAAATGTTTAGGGCGCCCCGTAACACCGACCAACTCGGAACTGTACTGAATCCACTGGGAATTTCTGGAGGCCCTGAATTGGAGCCCAACCAGATTGTGATACCATCTGTAGGAAGTGCTGGATCTTCAGGGTTTTAGGCCTTTAGAAAATGAGCTTCTCTCATTGTCAGGCACTAGGTTATGGCAAGGCTCCTCTTCATGATATCGTTAACTTCACTTTGTCTTGCATGTCAACCCTTGGAGCTTCTGCAGTGTAGACCATACAAGCCATTTATGCCGGCTTCCGCCTGGTTGCAAATCCCCAGTGTGAACTGGGGCACCAAGGCGGAGGACTAATGCAATGCGAAAGGTCTCTGGATCTAGACATTTTTATTTTTTTTTTGAGATATATACAAGAGTTGTTACATTCTTGTACAGCCACTAGTACGCGTAGCGTTTCGGGCAAGTCCTTAATCCTATGGTCCCTGGAATACGATCCCCTGCCGCGAAGAATCGTTTTTTCATCCAAGTACACATTTTACTGTTGCGTTAAACAGAGGCTACAGTTAAGGAATTGTGCCCAGTAAATCCTCCCCGGCCAGGATACGAACCCATGACATAGCGCTCGCGGAACGCCAGGCGAGTGTCTTACCACTACACCACGGAGACATGTGCCACTTGTAGACATATTACCTCTAAAAGTAACCAAAAACATGGGGAAGGAGGCACCATTAGCTCTAAGGCGAGCTATCTCCATAATACAGAACACGTTGTAAGTTTTTACCATTTATTGCAGTTTACGTTCATCATGGGTCGCATATTCTTCACGGACCCGCTGCAGCGTCTGGGACTCTTCACGCTAGGCTGCAGCCCCGGCGGCACCATGTCCAACTTCTGGACCCTCATGTTCAACGGGGACATCAACCTCTCCATCACTATGACCGCCGTCTCCACCGTCGCTGCCATGGGTGCGTTGTTGGGACTTTCCAACTTATTATGGTAAAATGTTCGCGGGTGTACAGACTATAAACTACTTCTAAATTTCCTATTTTTTATATTAAATTTCTGCACTAATGGAAACATTTATCAGGTAACCTTTGTCCAGGTTCTAACATTGAATATTACTTGTTTATTTTCTATAATTATGGATGGACCCCTTGCGATTCCCGAGCATATATAATGGATACACCCTTAGCGTATTCCTAGCCCACTAAACCCTTTCCCATCACTGATTTTGTGCATGAAATATAAGTTTTTTTGTTATTTTATTTATATATACAAGTGTTATTACAATCTTGTACAGCCACTAGCAGGCATAGCGTTTCGGGCAGGTCTTTAATCCTAAGGACCTGCCTTTAACCGGCTTAATCTTAACCAGTCTCCGTGGTGTAGTGGTAAGACACTCGCCTGGCGTTCCGCAACCCGTTCTCGCAAATTCGTAAAGTCAATATTGACTTATTAACTGCGTGCATAGGTGATATACTAAACATAATAGATACCCCTAAAAAGATTCATAGAAAACACCGACCTTACCTAACCTTGTTAGTATCTTAAGATAAGCATCTTATTGCTTCGTAATTACAATTATTACTTAACCTATTCCTATTATAGGTTAGGTAATAATTGTAATTACGAAGCAATAAGATGCTTATCTTAAGATACTAACAAGGTTAGGTAAGGTCGGTGTTTTCTATGAATCTTTTTAAGGGTATCGATTATGTTAAGTATGTCACCTATGCACATATTTAATAAGTCAATATTGACTTACGTTCCGCGAGCGCTTTGTCATGGGTTCGTATCCTGGCCGGGGAGGATTTGCTGGGCGCAAATCCTTAACTGTAGCCTCTGTTTAACTCAACAGTAAAATGTGTACTTGGTTGTAAAAACGATTCTTCGCGGCGGGGATCGTATTCCAGGGACCTGCCCGAAACGCTACGCGTACTAGTGGCTGTACAAGAATGTAACAACTCTTGTATATATCTAAAAAAAACTCTCAAAAATAAAAGATTATAAATCAGGAACGAGATAACACACGTACCGTGTGATGAGAGAAGTGAGAATTAAGGCAACTTGCCGTGTGTGTGTGTGTGTGTCAGGGATGATGCCGTTGTGGATGTTCACGCTGGGCGGGAAGCTGCTGGAGGAGAACGCCAACCTGCGCATCCCCTACGGCAACCTGGCCGGCTCCCTCATCAGTCTCACGCTGCCTGTGGGGATCGGCATCTTCATAAGGTAATGCGGATTATAATCTGGTGATTTGGGTGGCCTTGGTGCTATTACTCTTATTGGTGGTGATATTATCAGCTACCATTGTTGAGACTGTTATTGTCATGCATATAGCTAGTGCTCCCTCCTGCTACTGTTACTGCTTCCTACTAGTTCTTCCATTATTGGCTATGACTACTATTACTACTGCTACTAAAACTACTACTGTTACCTATGTTAGAACTACTATTACTACTACTGTACTATCACTGCTGATTTCATTTTAAAATATAAGAATTAATATAACTTTATATCACCTCTACCGTCATACACTATTCAGAGCCAAGATGACCAAAACAGGAGGACCAAACACGCCACAGCAGTTGCCTAACGCCTAGGTACCTATTTACTGCTAGGTGAACATGTCGCGTCTCTCCAGAGGGACGCGACTCATTCCTCCCAATCTTTGCTGATGATGAACCAAATATTATTTGGGTTAAATAGCAAGTAAATAGAATGAAGCCTCAAGATGATCTGCACAAACTGACATAATGATACAAGAAATGGCTACTAATCTCAAGCACGTGTAGTAAAACTTACTGGTGGTCACGGGAGGCTGGACACAAAGTATAAGAAAGTAGACCAGTCTCCGTGGTGTAGTGGTAAGACACTCGCCTGGCGTTCAGCGAGCGCTTTGTCATGGGTTCGTATCCTGGCCGGGGAGGATTTACTGGGCGCAATTCCTTAACTGTAGCCTCTGTTTAACGCAACAGTAAAATGTGTACTTGGATGAAAAAACGATTCTTCGCGGCAGGGGATCGTATTCCAGGGACCTGCCCGAAACGCTACGCGTACTAGTGGCTGTACAAGAATGTAACAAACTCTTGTATATATCTCAGAAAAAAAAAAAGATGAAAGTACAAAAATCAGAGAAAGACCAGGTGGTAGATATGACACCTAAACTGTAGTCCAAAACTCACAGCAAACAGACATTGTCTGCAGCGTATGTTAGTTTGATCAGCATAAGAGCTGTCTTTGGAAATTTAAATACGAAATCATTTTGGATCTTATATCACATACGTCGGGCCAATTCTGGACAAAATAGCGCCTGCGGAGATGTTTATCCTCGGAACTGTCACACGGTAACCACAAGGTAGTTGAGTACAAGCAGACTGGCAGGCAGGCAGACAGCTAGGCAGACAGCTAGGCAGACAGGAAAGCAGGTAACTAGGCAGACCTGTATGGAAAACAGGTAGTCAGATAGAAAAACATGCAGGCAGACTGATATACAGGCAGACAAACAAAAATAGAGCCATGATAATGAAAAAAATCGAGTAGGAAAGACTGACAAACAGGAGAGGTCAGACGACCGCAATTAGGATGAGAAAACGTCACAACATTAGTCCTGGTAACATTCACCTGATTTCCTGCTCAACACAAATGCAATATACAGTGTTAAGACAATGTAAGCTAAAGTGCCCTAACTTACCTAGGTGAGGTGTGTGTAACCCCCGACTTGTTACAGATACCGGAAGCCCCAGTGGGCGGAGATGGGTCGTCGCATCATCAAACCATTTACCTTCGTCATAATATTATTCTTCATGATTGTGAGTTAACCTCAGGACTCCTCAGTCACCTTCTTGTTTTGCTTATCTACCTCATTCTTTGTATTAACTTTAATCTTTAATTTGTTATATATACATTTGTATCAGATTTTGAAAAACTATTGTTTTCAACCTTTATATCAAGTGATAACATAATTAATCATATATATAATTGTTATTTACATAAACAAAATGGAAATTTTGAATGCAGAAACAGTTGCTTATTTTTTTCTGGTACTTCAATTTATAGACCTGCATGCCAGTATAGTCTGCAAATCGACATATACAATCATATGTATATGTCGTCTAATATATACATCATCGTATATTACAGTTGGGCACCTGGAACTCGTACAAGGTGTTCACCATGATGACATGGCAGATGGTGGTGGCGGGGACGCTGGTGGCCATCTGCGGCTACACCTTCGGCGCCATCTTTGCCAAGCTGTGGTGCCTCTCCACCGACAAGGTCATCGCCATCAGCATTGAGACTGCGCTCCAGAACCCCGGCGTCTCCTTCATCCTCCTCAAGCTCTCACTACCCAGCCCAGACAGGTGATCACTGAGACTTTACGTCATACGGGATATGTATAGATGGGACATTACCATTACCGAAGTAATTTGTTTATCGATTCTGATGTACAGGGGTTAAATGCACAGTTGTCACAATGAGAGATGGAGCCACTCCAAGTGACGAGGTGGTCACCACTGGGGTTTCGTAGCTCAACCCTGCCATGCAGGTGGGAGGGAAGCGGAAAGGCTCAGTCGGGAGTCGAAGAATTAGCTTGGTCTGGTCCCCAACATAACCGGGGTTTTGGAGCCCGATCCTTCCATCACAGTCCGACTCGGGGGTCTGGTCGCCCACCGCACGAGTCTAAGAAGTTGAAAGAGGGTCAGAAGTCGGCACAGAACGAACAAGAATAAAATTTCATGCACAATTAAGTTCCTATACCCATCATGGAGGACAGGGACATCATCAATTGGGGGAGAATTAGGGGACATGGAACGCAACAAAATGGGCCGTCCCAGGAAGGTGCATCGTGGATATACACGCCACAATCGTTACCATAAGAACAGTCGATCTGTCAAGATCGGGTTCAGTAATTAAGGCAGAGTTTGACATAAAAGCTTCACCCTCACTCGAACACGTCAGGTATTCCAGTTCTAGGGGAGGAAGAGAGTGCCTTCTCAACTCACCCTCCATCAGAACAGAAGAAGTCACACAAAAGAATATTCGAAATCGGTACCGAGTCATCAGGAAGCTTCATCCAGAAAGTAAAAATGGAAAAGTAAGAAAAACAAACACGAGAAAGAGAGAAAGGAGTCTAGCAAAATTAGTAAAGAAGGCTGTAGGAGAACAAGGCTCTAAGAGGACAAGAAATGCCATCTTATTAAGCATCACACTCCAGCAGCCACCGACCATGCCTCCCTCACGTCGACAACGAGCTAGACGGTGAGGGAGGTGAACATCTGAAGAATTAGTGGGAATTAGGTACGGGGACCCAGGATAAATAGGCAATTATCACAAGAAGGCACCAAGCCAGACAGACTGTGCAGCACCATCAATGACGCAGATTAATCGAAGGGCGCTAATTATCACCAAGGATGCCAATATGAGAACAATAGCGCACAAGGCGAGCGATATCAAAGGTATCGGATTCCACCAAGGATTCTATCGAGGGACAAGTGACCGCGAGGGACTGGCAGGAAACAAGAAACACGCACGTCCTGGAAGTCAGGATATTCAATAAGGATATGCACGACCGTAAGGACAATGCAGTTCGGGCAATAATGAGCAGGGCGGCGCTCCATTAAGTGTCCGTGAGTTAAACGGGTATGGCCAATACGTAACCTCGCCAGAGCCGTTCCCCACCGCCGGTTATGGTGGTAGGAGGAAGGCCACGGGGACACACACCCTTAAGAGCACGCAGTTTGTTACCTGCAGCAGAATACCAACGATCTTGCTAACGGTCACGGACTGAGGAATGAATGACTGGGCAGAAGTCGAAATAAGGATTGCCTTTGGGGAAATAGGATAAGTGCAGAAAGCCTCCATAAGCTTTATATAATAATAATAATAATAATAATAATAATAATAATAATAATAATAATAATAATAATAATAATAATAATAATAATAATAATAATTCTTTTTTAGGTAAAAGTACATACATACAAAATGAGTTACAATCAGAATGTTTGATTTCTAGGTAGAGTTAATACAATATATACTTTGTCTATAGCCACTAGTACACACAGCGTTGAGGGCAAGATTTGAGGGAAAACGAAAAACTAAGACTTCAAACTAATTGAAATCAAAAGCATGAAATTAAACTGAAGTAGAAAAAATGACAATAATTACATGTTGAATTGAACAGCAGAAAGTGCAACCGAACAGCAGATAGTAATTTTAACTAAATAAACAGACGGACTACAATTTTCTTTAAATGTATACATAGCAGTTATCAGCAGTTTTACAAGTTAGTCATTAATCCTTACAGCTTAATCATTAACCATTTTAATGTTTGATAACAGCAAGACAGGTTAACATTTAGGAGGTAAGGTAGGTTACATGGAGTTGATTATGTAGTACTTAATTTTATCTTGAACTGGTTGAGAGAGTGGCAGTCTTTGACGTGATTGGGAAGGTCATTCCACATTTTGTGACCCCTTGATTTGCAGAGCATTTCTACTTTGGTTAAGTCTTGGAATAGCAAATAGATATTTGTTTCAAGTGTGGTGCCCATGGGTGCTGTAACAACTTTCTAGGAATATGACTGGGAACCCAGCAAAACTCGACTGTCTTAAATTTGCTGGAGAAACAGCCAGTGTTGAATTTCGACTACCACTGGATGGATTAAATGACTCCAGAGCCATGAGGGCACTGTGAGAATCAACTACAACGACGAATGATTGTTGAATGAATGAATTAATTTTTAGGGGTAAGTGCCAAGTCATTACGACTATATAGCACTGGGAAGGGGTCAGGATAAGGATTTGGGATGGGACGGGGGGGGGGGGGAGGGGATGGAATGGTGTCAAACCACTTGGACAGTTGGGGATTGAACGCCGACCTGCTTGAAGCGAGACCGTCGCTCTACCGTCCAGCCCAAGTGGTTGGGAATGAATGTTGAATGCGAGAAAGCAGTTGACGAAGAGCATACAAAATTACGCTAAGATTTGATGTGAAGATGTTAGTCTCTGGGGGGCAGGCAACGCATACAGGTTTGTCAGGAAATACCACGGAGTACCTAACATTGTCGGCAGACGTAAACGCATCTATGAAGACGGTAATAGAGCGGAAGTGTGAAGAAAAGTGTGCAAGAAAAAGGCGTTTCAGAACTGCAGGAGGGGTAGAAGCCTTAGCCACATGGGTCAAGGTTTTGCAAAACATCGGAAATGGGATCCTCCATGGGGGCAAGGATGAAACGGCACGAGGATTAATATTGGTAACATGACCTGAAAGACAATCGGCAAGCGAGACATCCGTACAGAAAAAGGATGTTGGTGAAAGGAAACAGGGCCCACAGGAGGGGTAACGTTCACAGCACGACATAAGCGAGAGTGAGGGTGTTGTAGCGACATCCTCACCTTCTCACTGAGGTGAGAAGGTCGAGGTGTTGGGGTGTATGTACTCGCCTATTTGTACTCACCTATTTGTGTCTGCAGGATCGAGCATTGACTCTTGGATCCCGGTTTTCGTGTGTGTGCCTTTATCTCACAGCATGGAGGGGGGGGGGGAAGAGGTATCGAGAGAGACCACAGAGATTAACACATCCAGTTCCCAAGTGAGCTCACGAGTGAGGTTCCTTAAAATGCCTCCTTCTCTATCAAGTTTACAAGATTACTATTATATTCTATTATTGAATGAGAATGCATCAGTGATTACGACATGATATTATATAAGCCTTGCACACTGTTGTAGACGTCAGAGAGGCATTTGCCAGTCCAAACATGCACTTACCTCCCACAAGCACAAGTAGTCAAGTGTCACGGCGGGTCTCCTCTCGTCCAATGCGATGTGTTGTCTTAAGATAACCTATTGCAGAGGCGATGAAGGAGGATGTACTCCTGAACGGAGCATCTGGTACCTACAAGAATTACGGAAGACCGAAGGGGCATACTTTAAAAGGGTTGTAACAGAACCCATGGACACCACACTAGAAACAAATACCTATTTGATATTCCAAGAGTGAGTCTTATCCAAAGTAGAAATGCTCTGCAAATCAAGGGACCCAGAATGTGGGATCACCTTCCCAATCATGTCAAAGGCTGTACCTTTCTCAATCAGTTTAAGAGAAAAACTAAGTACTACCTGATCAACTCCATGAGACCTGCCTTACCTTCTAAATGGCAACCATATCTTGCTATTATTGAGCATTAATCATTAATGACTGTACTTGTAAAACTGCTATTATCTGCCGTGTAAAAACTTAACAAATTATATGCTTCTGTTTATTTCATTAAAATCATTTCTGTTGTTCAGTTGCAATTTCTGATGTTTCTTAAAACATGTAATTATTGTCATTTTTTTTCTACTCAGTTCAGTTTTAGCTTTTGATCTCAATTAGTTTTAAGTTAAATTTTCCTTTATTTTTATTGCAGTTTTTAAGTGTATTTTTCCACATATTGCCCGAAACGGTTTACGGCTTTAGGCATAGTATACACAGTACTACCTCTACCTAGCATAGTATACACAGTACTACCTCTACCTAGCATAGTATACACAGTACTACCTCTACCTAGAACTCCAACATTCTTCATGTAACTCATTTTGTATGTATGTACTTTCCCTAAATAAACATTATTATTATTATTATTACTATTATTATTATTATTAATATTATTATTATTATTATTAATATTATTATTATTATTATTACTATTATTATTATTATTATTATTATTAATATTATTATTATTATTAATATTATTATTATTAATATTATTATTATTATTATTATTATTATTATTATTATTATTATGGACTCCAAAATCCGTAAATGAAAAACAAGAACAAGTAAACTCAATTATTTGAACTCAAAGTGAACAAGTAAAAAGAACAAGTGGAATATTTCCACAGATAAAAAGTTGAATATTTATACTGATTTTAAATTTAATATGTGACATATAATAAAGAGTGATGTGATCATGTGAGCAGAATTGTAGTTTGCAGAAAGATAATTTGTCCAACATTTTGAGTATGTGGTCCCCCCCCCCCCCACCCGCCTGAAATTAAATCCTGGTTGAGCAGCCCGTCCTCCTAGGGTTTCCCAACGTCAAGAAATTGTCGTACTAAAGTGCTCTCTCCTAACCTACCAGAGGACCCAAAACGGGACACAATGTCAATTTCGCGAGCCGCTACCATTTTCTAGTACGACAATTTTGTTTACCTTAGGTAGAGTATACGTCAAAATGCGACGTTCTATTATGCAGACGGGTATAGGGTTGAGAACCCGTGTAATAAAATACCAAACTTTATGTCTTACAGTGATCTGGCAGCGTTACCAGCCATGGCCACCATGATGATGACAGGTCCTCCCATGATAGTCGTATACGTCGTGTACGCCATTCTCCGCCGCTTCTGTGGCTGCTGCCCCGACCCTCCCTCCCCCGTGCTCCTGGTGGACGCCTCACTGCACGAGACACACAAGGAGACGCCGCACGAGATCGTCAAGCTCCTACCAGAGACGTTCAAGGAGAACCCGTACGAGGTCAAGCTCCTACCAGAGACGTTCAAGGAGAGCCCGTACGAGGTCAAGCTCCTACCAGAGACGTTCAAGGAGAACCCGTACGAGGTCAAGCTCCTACCCAAAGACAAAGATGTTCTCTCTGTAACAACGAGCACAGAAAACGAGAAAAGTGGCCATGTCATTGTTTTATTGGGATTAACTAAACAAAAATTAACGGAAAAACAGAGTAATTTGTAAGTGTACTGTATCTTTGATAGATTGTATTGTATTGCGACAAAAATTAAATTATGTAAGGATCACTTGATGAAGATAACGTTAAATGATCTTTGCTATGTTTAAGAAAGTAGAGCCGTCACTGTTCGAAAATGATACGACTGAAAATAAAATCGCGTCTAGTCTAAAACTCTTGCAGTGTGCGCTATGATTTAGTTGTGAAAGCTCTGTCATCCTTGGTAAACCCAAATCCTATCACCATAGCGAAACACTGAGACAAAGTTGAAGCTGAACTAGTAAAATTGCATAACTAAATACCCGGACTAATAAATGTAGTAAATAAATTATAGTCAGATAAAATGAATTAAAAATTCTGGTCTAATAATTTATCGGTGAATATACATAGAATTTACTATAGGTTCAGGACTAGAGAATATTCAGTGTCTGGTCAGTACCCCACTGTGGTGCCCTTGTGTACTAACCCTCATGCAGATGACATGCTTTATATCTAACCAAATAAATTAACCGGTCCTTAGAATAGATTTGATATACATATGAGCCTGAGCAAAACATGCATTGTCCCTCAAATATCTTACAGCTCCAATTATTGTACTTTGCTCAAGCAATAGAAAAAAATAGAAAACAAAATCCTTCCCTGGGAAACTATACAACATATATATCTTGCCTTTTATTTGTATTTTTTATTAACAAGCTTAGGTATACAGAGCAGTGTGCTGCTACACTATTCAATATGAAAGATTACACAGTGTAGATCAAAAGCTAGCTATAAGTTCATCTCATATTCCCATCTCACAGGATGGTTAGCCATACATGGAATCAAGGGGAGAAAAAAAACCCTGCCTCAATTCAAAAACAAATCAACTCTGACTAAACAAGAATGTCACGACTTTCACAAGAGCTAAGCAGTGAATCATGGAAACATTACATTATAATTACTCTTACCAGTTTCTACAAGACTCCTCTCAAACAATGTCTTTTCTTTTCAACAAGCTCAGATACTCGCCTGAAAGATTTCATGGCAATTTAGATCTGGGGAAAGCTGTCAAATATTTTATAATTCATAAATTAAAATTGCGAAGGAATCCATCCATTCTGAGGTTCCAAAGAGACTATGGTATAGAGTCTTTAGAACTTTGTAAGGCCACTTGAAGACCAAACCTTAACTTCAAAAAAATCTACTCATATTGTGCTATTTTTAGCAATAATATACCGAACAAACAACTCAATAAAATTATTCTTTAAATAATTGCTTATAATTTTATCGGATTATCCTGAAGCAGTTTTTTTTTCTACCACAGACGTGGCCACACATTTACAATGCTAACCAGCATATATACATTTTCTTCTGTCCTCCATGGACAGGGTTAGAGAAGTGTTAAACATATAGTTCAAGGGTTTATTGAACACTCAACCACAGAAGGTGATTCGGTGCTTTAAAATGCTAAGCTAACCTACATACGTAAATACATAGATACACAAATTTACGTATGCCCTACATAAAGTGTTAGATGTGTCTTTTACATAGTGTCATTAATGTACATTCACAAAGGTGAAATGTAATTCTGATCAGCTTCCATATATACTTTATACCCATACATATACATACACACACACACATATACATACATATATATACACACACACACATGCATTCACATACATTTGTCTCATTTACTCTGACAGGGTGAGATAGCTGATAAAGAAACTAGTGTGCAATTAAGCACTTAATCACTGAAGGTGATGAAGGTGCTTTTACAAGCTCAGGTTATATAGTTACATCATATATATACATTGTATGATTGATATATTACATGGTCAATCTTGGATACAAGTCCAATATATCATCAAGTGTTCCAGTACTCATATAGTAATTACAGAGTTCAGCATACCTTAGCCCAGAAGGGCGAAAGTCAGTCAGTATGGGACATTCTACAATATAATGTTCAAGAGAGTGCATGTTTTCTCTTTCACAAAGTTGACACATTGTGTACTCGACATTTGGGTTTTGAGAAAGCTGCCAGATACGTCTATATCCCAGGCGTATTCTGGCCACTATAACATCACATTGCCGGGTTCTTGTTCTATTAGTCCCATATGTGAATGTCTCCTCACGATATCTATCATAATATTTAATGCTACAACTTTCAGGTCTTTGAGAATTTGTTAGGTCGGTGAGAGTTTCATTAGATATTTGTTTAAGTATTCTCTTGGTCACTGCTAATGAAACACCCATATCAATTTCTACCACTGGTTTTCTGCAGGCTGACTTAGTAAGCATATTAACAGTGTCATGCCTTGAGATGCCAACATGTGATGGTATCCATAGGTATCCATTATGCAGATCAGCAACGTCTTCTGCTGCTGTGTCATCCCTGTAGCATACCCCCACTGTCATTAGGCTACCATCTTGAGCTAGTTTGTTGCACCATACAGACTGAGGATCCCATAGTGCTCAGTTCCTCATCATTGGTTGCATCCAGGTCCTCTTGTTGTTCGTTCCTTTCTGAATGGTGGGTGGTATCCCGGGAGGTGGAATTCCCCTTCTATTATTTTCTCTCGCCCATATGTTTCACTGATGCCAGTGATGTCGAGATTTTCAGCTTCAGCATACACACATAATGAGTCAAATTTATTTACTAGGCTTCTAGCATTTGTGTAGAAACTATTTGAACTCCTGACGTTCCTTGAGAGATTGTTCCTGTGTTTAGGACATTTCTGTTCCCTTCATTGTCGCTATGGTTCTGTGCCCGTTTGTTGTCCGATATATAAAGAGTTAGTTTGATAAAGAGTTAGTTTGGCCTGGTTGGGTGAAGGACTATGTCGTCTCCTCCCCGGTGATGGTGGTTCGAATCCTTGTCGGGTACAAGAATGTAAGAACTCTTGTATATATAAATAAATAAAATAAACAAATACGAGTTGTTATCATTGACATTCATTGTCAATGAAATAGTTTGTCCCTGGCATACATTAAAAGGAATCTTAGTTTAAACTTAATACAAAGAGACTTTCTGAAGATGTCCTTTAGATAAGAGCAACTGTTATATAAGTGATCAAAGACCTTTGAATGAATTATATTTCAAAACCCATATGACATATCTAAAGGTGATACCTAATGTTATTGAATTAGCCCATCAATCTGTGACCAAATTTATACTATTTAAATGTTAACTACAGACAAGAGAACTCACAACCTGTTGACAAATACATGATTATCTATAGTCACCTATTATCTTCAAGATCATGTGATCTTGGGGCTTTATCATATCGTCTCACTATAGAGATATAAATATTATTAAAACACTGCCACTCATCATGAGTAGTAAACAACTACGCTTTCACGGACAGAAAAGCTTATCTCTATGGAGGTTAACGCAATAATCAGACAACTTCTCCCAGTAGAGCCTCAGTACCAGAGTTGGTATATTAGGGAATGCAGGTGGTAGTGATTTCTCCTTCCCTGACGTTATCAACTTGAGGGAAGAGTTTGGTCAGATGCCTTGTCAAGTGACAGTATTCAGGACGTTGTCTTATTAATTAAGAGCAGTGCGGTGCTGCCTTTGTGACATCACGTTTTGGGTTGCTTCAAATATCACGTTAAATTTGCCTTGAACTGTCAAGTTTAAGAAAATAAGTTCATACTCTGAAATATTATTGCTTTGCGGTATATTTTTATAAATATTTTGACACGGCATTTGACGTCTGACTACTGAGAATACGTTGTATTGTGTTGTCAAGTGTCAACAGTTTATCATCTCACGGCACTCAGTGTTAGTCCATCCCAAATGTTGCTGCGGTTGTTGACTGTATTGAGCTATGCTGCCCTCACTATGGGGGTCATGAGTTCAGGAGGCGCCGTGTACCTGGAAACCTTCCATAGCGGCGTATGGAAGGTCCCGGAGGACACGCCTCTCAACCTCACACTGTCTCTCGGGTTCAACGCCAGTGACGCCGTGTGCAGTGATGGACGGGACCTGACAGAGGCGTGGCTGGAGGTGACGGTGGTGCTGGACGAGGACTGGAAGCTGGACATAGTAAACAAGAGCGTGCAGTTCAGGGTGGCGGAGGTGTGTGCCAGAGTCAACAAGAGCCTGGCCTTCTCCGGCTACTACTGGGGACTCACCAAGCTGGCTTTCTTCCTCACCCACAACGACCTCGACCCTTACTTTACTAATGCAACCTTACTGAGGGACGATTTAATGGTGAGAAATTCTTCTTATGTGACAGTAAATAGGAATAAAAGTCCCTGTCACGGGCGTAGCTAATTTATTGTCTGGTTTCTTCTTGGTGCTTCTCTGCACCGTTGACAACACTGTTTAACCACCCGGCCCCTGGCAACAGCGAGCTCAAGGCCCAAACTGAAAACTCCATTAACTCTTTAGTAAAGCGCTTCTATTAACAGCTATTACCGAAATATAATTTAAATTAACAACTTTTCATAAATTCCATAAAATACTACAAAACCAAGTCACAGGCCAGTGGACACAATATCCTAGACTAACGTCGATTTAGTGGTTTTTTTTTTTTTTGCAGGGATATTCCTGCGCGGGCCCTAAGCCTCTGGCTGGCCCACTGGGCGGGCCCTAAGCCTCTGGCTGGCCCACTGGGCGGGCCCTAAGCCTCTGGCTGGCCCACTGGGCGGGCCCTAAGCCTCTGGCTGGCCCACTGGGCGGGCCCTAAGCCTCTGGCTGGCCCACTAAGTGTTGCTTGTTTCTGCTTTACTTGGGCCGAGTATGAGTATTTATGACTCGTATGGTCGCTTCAGTAAGATTTTGAACCATATGTTTAACAACTTCTCCTTTGTTGAATCTAAGTTGAAATCTTAATGGGTTTGTAACTGTGCACTGTGTTAGATAATGTTCCAGTGGTCTGTCGGGCATTTCTCCACAGTGCTGACATTTCCTCTCATCTTCCGGAACCTGTAAGCCTATTTCCCATGCACATGGGTATCCAAGCCTAATGTGATGTAAGTGTACTTCTGTTGCTCTACTGCTCCCTTTCATCAAACTAAGTGGTTCATAGTTGGTTGAATTCTTGTACCAACCCGCAGATCCTGATGTTGCAACTGCTGTGTTGTGGTTACTGTACATCTTTCGCATTGCTCTGTTTCTAATTACTTTCTTAATCTGTGATAGACTTTGTGGTATGTAAATGTCTACATTTCTTATCTTAGTTGCAAGTTTTGCAGCTTCGTCTGCAATGTCATTTCCTATTATTCTCACATAACTTGGCACCCAGTTGATAAGTACCCGACGGCCTTGTCGTTTGAGTGTTTGCATTAATGATATGACATTTGTAATCAGATGTATGTTATCACATATGTGTTCTTGTTGTAAAGTTTCAATGGCGGTTCTGTAATCTGTATGTATGATAACATGTGAGTTAGTGCTGAGTTAACGCTTCTCTTAGATATTATGCCTACTAGGTTGTGCCCACTGGACTGTGCCCAATGGGTTCTGCCCACTGGGTTGTGCCCACTGGACTGTGCCCAATGGGTTCTGCCCACTGGGTTTTGCCCACTGGGTTTTGCCCACTGGGTTTTGCCCACTGGGTTTTGCCCACTGGGTTTTGCCCACTGGGTTTTGCCCACTGGGTTTTGCCCACTGGGTTTTGCCCACTGGGTTCTGCCCACTGGGTTTTGCCCACTGGGTTCTGCCCACTGGGTTTTGCCCACTGGGTTCTGCCCACTGGGTTTTGCCCACTGGGTTTTGCCCATTGGGTTTTGCCCACTGGGTTTTGCCCACTGGGTTTTGCCCATTGGGTTTTGCCCACTGGGTTTTGCCCACTGGGTTGTGCCCACTGGGTTGTGTCCACTGGACTGTGCCCAATGGGTTCTGCCCACTGGGTTTTGCCCACTGGGTTCTGCCCACTGGGTTTTGCCCACTGGGTTTTGCCCACTGGGTTTTGCCCAATGGGTTCTGCCCACTGGGTTTTGCCCACTGGGTTTTGCCCATTGGGTTTTGCCCACTGGGTTTTGCCCACTGGGTTTTGCCCACTGGGTTTTGCCCACTGGGTTCTGCCCACTGGGTTTTGCCCACTGGGTTCTGCCCACTGGGTTTTGCCCACTGGGTTCTGCCCACTGGGTTTTGCCCACTGGGTTCTGCCCACTGGGTTTTGCCCAATGGGTTCTGCCCACTGGGTTTTGCCCACTGGGTTCTGCCCACTGGGTTTTGCCCACTGGGTTTTGCCCACTGGGTTCTGCCCATTGGGAGGAGAGATCATTTATCATGAAAATCGCTGTCGCATATGACCTTGTGTAAATAAACCTTGAGCCATGCTCCATTTCCTTGTCAATTAATTGTTTACGAAAACAGAAAGCCTCTCTTCCCTGATTTCAGTTAAACAAAAATTCACGTTGCATGGAGTATGACAGTGAATATGATATAAAATGAACAAATTCACAAGGGCCGTGACGAGGATTCGAACCTGCGTCCGAGAGCATCCCAGACGCTGCCTTAATCGACTGAGCTACGACATGGTCAAAAGGAGTCAAAAGGATGCTCTCGGACGCAGGTTCGAATCCTCGTCACGGCCCTTGTGGATTTGTTTATTTGATGCATCACGCAATTGTGATTTCTGTGTAATGACATAAAACATTTATCATGACATGTCTTGGGACTCGTGTCATCATAGATGTTGGAAGATTTGAACCTAAAGCAAACTTTGAATCAATTTGTTTTTAGGTTATGAAAAATGGTTTTTATATATTTCATTCATGTTGCTTATCGGGGATTGAATTTTGACATGAGGAATATTATAGCACATATATGTACTATATTAGACCAAAGATAGCGAATTTTAGGCCTAGGATTGTTTGGAAAGGTTCGGTTAGGTTCCTTAGATTTCTTTAAAAATTTTAATCTAACATTTGAGCTTTTTCAATAATACAAAACGTGAATTTTTTGGATCAGTCTAATTTTTCACGTATTAAGAAATAACTAATGTAAATACAAGATAACCTCAAGAAGCACTTTCATTCTTGAAGGATGGACGGCATATTTTTAGGCCTGAGTTTGAATTCCCGGCGATCTAAAGGTTTAGTGAATGAAATGTTATTGGCCAAAATATTGTGCCGGAGGCTTAAGTAAATAACTATAACTTGTCCTCCACACTACCGTGGAAATACAAATTTCCCGCACCTGGGCTCTAGGAGACTCGAACCACGGACCCAATGCGTGTGAGACGCGGGCGTGGGTCACTAATTCCTCTGAGCTTCAGTAGTAGTCAGGAAAAGTTGAACATTCCAGCATAGCAGCAGTATAGTTGCTTCTGAATTTTTCCTTATTAACACTACTCATAGCCCAGTCGATAGAGCTTCTGCCTCACATGCGTGGGGTCTGTGGTTCGAGTCTCCTAGAGCGCAGGTGAATGAAATAAATATATTTGCCCGAAACGCATTGCGTAATAGTGGCTTTAGGCATTGTATGTACTAGCTCTATCTATATATCAATCCATTAATGTAACATCACTTGTATGTATATACCTTACCTGAATAAACATCTGAATCTGAATCTATTTATACTTTAAAAGAGAATATCTGGCTGTTAGTCTGTCCAAAGGATAGAGGCCAGATGCTTGGGGCTAGCTTACCCAAATTTGTAGGGAAAATGGGCTGCGGCATGAGATACCCGACACTTGTGGTCGGGTCGGTTAGGGTAGGTGTTTGGGATGCGTCAGAATGCGGGTTCGAGTCACTCCACTCCATTCATATATATATATATATATATATATATATATATATATATATATATATATATATATATATATATATATATATATATATATATATATATATATATATATATATATATCACCGTACTGGTTATGCTGATCTTATTTATTTATTTATGTACTGTATATACAAAAAGGTACATTGGGTTTATGAGAGTACAAAGCACTGATTAATTCTTGTAAATTCTTATTGTTTATAAATTAAAAATTATTCTTGATACATTTTTGTAAAGCCACCAACACGCATAGCGTTTCGGGCAGGACCTTAATCTAACAGATAATTTTAAGTAGGTAATTTCTAGCAAAATTGAAGAAATGTTAACAGGTAAAATGTAAGAAATTTGATAAAGATTAGTAGGAACAATAAAGTAGAATTTGAGGGTTATCAACAGGTACGTTGTAGCATAATTTGAGGATTATTTCTAGATATAATGTAGTCAAATATGCGTTCAATATAACAACCATGATATAAGATGATAGCAATGATTACAATGGTGAAGTTGAATGGCTTAGGCACATATATTGGGGGATTGAGTAGCACAAGATACAGTGAGAGTTTAAGGCACTAGGTAGGAAACTATGAAGATAAAATTAGGTACTTTTTGCTTTTATTTTTGAATAAGACAAAAGTTGGACAACTTTTCAATTCATTAGGAAGTTTTCCATAGAAAACGTCCCTTTATTTGCATAGAGTGTTTACATAATTATGGTAAATATGGGTTCTATTACATCTATCAAGGAAGCGTTTGAGATCAGGATTTGCATTTAAGAAATTGGATTTGAAAATGTAAATGACACAAGAGAATGTGTGGAGTGAGTTTATGTTTAGCATGTTTAGGGATTTAACAAGGAGGGGGGCACACATTAGATAATTTTGTAAATAATGAATTAAAAAAAAAGTCCACTTATGGATGTTAACCAACAAACTCACATTAAACATAGAAATATCTACTACATCTTATTTGGAACCAAATTAATAAATGCAATCCAGTTTCAGATAGACAATGTTAACATCAATAATAAAAATGATGGAAAGTTCCTTGGCCTATACTTAGACAAGAGACTCAACTTCAGCACCCACATACACCACATAACCAAAAAAGTCTCAAAAACGGTTGGTATACTCTCTAAAATCAGATATTCTCTCACTACATTATGCACTAATCTATCCCTATCTTACTTATGGCATCTGTGCATGGGGTTCAACCACTGCAAACCACCTCAAGTCCATCATCACCCAGAAAAAATCTACTATCAGAACAATAACAAACTCTCCTTTCAGACAACACTCAGCCCCTCTGTTTAAATCCCTTAACATGCTAAACATAAGCTCACTCCGCATATTCTCTTGTGCCATCTACCTTTACAAAACCCTGTTCTTAAATGAAAACCCTGCTCTGAAACTCTCTCTCTTGACAGATGTAATAGGATCCATAATCACCACACCAGAAATAAATATCCCTTTGATATCCCCAGAGTCAAACTTAATCTGTGTAAACACTGTGCAAATAAAGGGACCTAGTCCATGGAATTCACTCCCTAACGAATTGAAAACTGTCCAACTTTTGCCTTAGTCAAAAATAAAAGCAAAAAGTACCTAATTTCATCTTCATAGTTTCCTACCTAGTGCTTTAAACTCGCACTGTATCTTGTACTACCCAATCCCCCCAATATATGTACCTAAGCCATATAACTTTACCATTGTAATCATTGATATCATCTGATATCATGGTTGTTATATTGAACACATATTGTGTGCTACCCAATCCCCCAATATATATGTACCTAAGTCATACAACTGTGATCATTGCTATCATCTGATATGTGCTATCAATATGCTTTAATGTGCCTACTAATCTTTGACAAATTATCAATCAAGCTATCAATGCTATCAATCAAAGCTATCAATGTGCTTTAATATATCTACTAATCTTTATCAGATTCCAAATGGCATCTGATAAATGTCCACAAAGATTCCCTGTAGGAACCATACTACAGCCTGCACTGGACGACGATCCTGATTTAACCAAACCACAACCGCTGCGCTATCCACTCATTAGCCGTCGCCCGTGGACGCCAACAAAAGCAAGGAAATGGATGATGAAGAAAGAAGACTCAAGATAAGAAGAAAGAAGACTCAAGATAATAAGAAGAAAGAAGACTCAAGATTGACACCATTAGAAGACGTAGAAGATGAAGAAGAAAGAAGAAACATGAATGAAGAGACCGACAGAAGACAGATTGTCATCACCAGCATGAAGAAGCACCGACACAGCTGCCCTTTCCTGACTCGACTTAATGCCTATCCAGTTGAGTGGTTATTCCAGCATCGTTTCCAGGCATGCAGCTGGGTTTAGCCCTGGCTCTTTTTCTACAACTTCAGCGCTTTTTCTCACCGACTTCTCTTCACCTGTACCCACTTCAAGCTCGCCCAATGGGTATCTTGTCATATATCGCCACAATACGATCTTCGTATCGTATCGTGGAGCCAGGACGCCTCTTTACATTTAGGGAGAAACTCTTCTCTAGGCCCACATCACCGGACCACCGCCCAATTCGTGATCGTGATCCAGTTATTCAGCAATTAGGGTACCCCTATTACATCAGAGGAAATCCTTGTTGCTTTTAAGGCAAACAAGACTTCAGCTCCTGGCCCAGATGGTATTACTATGCATCTCCTTAAGACCATTTCAGTCAAGATGTTTGCAAAACTGTTTAACCTGTGGTTAGTTAACGAATCCCTACCGCTACTATTTTGTAAGAATAAGACAGCGCTGATACCAAAGAAACCGAAATCAAAAGCTCCGGAATTCCCACTATCGCCCAATAACCATTTCATCTACAATAGTGAGGCTGTTCCATAAGATTCTGAGCTGCAGACTCTCAGGCAGTTAGGATCGACAGGTGGCAGAAAGCTTTCGTCCCTGTGGATGGGTGTACTTAAAACCTGGTGATTCTGGATGCCTTCCTAGCTGAGGCTCTTGCGCTAAAGCACAACACGCACCTAGCGTTTCTGGGTATGGAGAAGGGTTTCGATAGCGTCTCACATCTGGCCATCCAGTGGGCCATGAAATGCAAAGGCATTCCGAAGCCTTTACGGACATACATCGTGTCGGGCTATGATCGGGACTCAACCGTAATTTCCAGCCAAGGAGAGAAGTCGAAGGACATCCTGATCACTAGGGGAGTGAAACAGGGTGACCCCCTATCTCCATTTCTCTTGAACCTAATAATTGATGAGGCAATTACTAGGGCTAAGGAGACGGGGCTAGAGATCGAACTTGGGGATGAAAAGATGTCAATCCTGGCGTTCGCCAATGATTTGGTATTGGTAGCAGAAACGGCTAACGAACTACAACCTCTTATGTTACGTATTTGTCGCACACTGCATAGTTGTGGCCTTAAGGTGAATGCAGGGAAGTTGCGCACGCTATGATTAAATATGGCTGGGCATCGAAAGACATGGTGTGTCCCCACCAGATGGGAATATTTTGTCGGAACCGATGTCATTGATACTATGAGTGAGGCGGAGGAATACAAGTACTAGGGCATACTTATCGGGGCCGGATGCAGACGCTTATCCTATGGTTCCCTGTTTGAGGAGGGTCTAACCAACATCACCAAGGCGCCCCCTCAAACCCCAACAGACACCACCTAATTCCCAAAATGAACCACCGACTTGTTCTCAGACGTTTGTTTAAAACTGAATTGGCACAGCTCGATAGGCTGTTGTGGCAGGCCACTCTTGGCTGGCTACGACTGCCCCACGATACCCCCAATGCCTTCTTTCATGCCAACGTACAGGATGGTGGACTAGGAATTCCAGACTTTGCAGTATCAATCTGCCTACTGGAGAACAAGAGGCTCGGGGAAATGGTTGAGTCGGAGGATCCAGTGATAGTGGCGGTAGCTTTCCTCCCCGCATTCCAAGCTTGAATGCTTCGATAGGCAGACCCGACTACGGCCGCTAGGACTCCCTTCTAAAAAGTACACCTAAGCGCTCTAAGGTTTGAAAGACAAAACAGTATAGCATGCTTCACTGTCCAAAGGGCATAGATAAGTCGGGAGGAGGAAGAAGGATGAAGAATAGAAATTCTGAAAGAGGATGTGGATGGAGAATGAGGGGGCTAAAAAGTTCAGTGGCCTATCCACCGCGGGTTGGGGTCAAATGTTTTTTTTTATTTATCTTGGTTTTTGTTTGTGTGGCGGGAGGCAGCATGGTAGGTTGGGTGGGCTGGAGAGGGCTGCCCAAGGGCTTGAGGTGAGGTGGAGAGGTGTGTAAACTGTGTTGTTCTTGAACGTGAAAAGGTCCATAAAGCTGGTAAGCAACAGGAGTCACAGCCCAGCTCCTATGCCAGGTAAGTCCATTACGGGCTCACCATAGCCCGTGCTACTTGGATTTTTTTGTTTTCAGTAGCTTAATCTTAAACAACAACATGGTAAGCAACCACCATGGAGACCCCCGTCCATCAACAGATCTCTAGTATCAGCTATTGGTACTGGTAAAGGCTCGAAAAAGCTTCCACTTACATTCATGTCCGTGCCACCTTTATGGTGGCTTAATCTTTATTAATCATCATCTGCAGTCCTGCTCTTGGATTGGATTGGCGCCTTTATGGACTCCATCTCCAGTATCAACTATTGATATAGATAATGGCTCCAAAGAGCCTCCACTTACGGGCTCACCATAGCCCATGCTACTTGGAACTGTTTGTTCTGAGTAGCTGAATCTAAAACATCAACGTGGAAACGGGAGAAAAGTTGGAAACCCAACCTCCAATTCAAACTTTAACCCAAATATCACAGTAACAAGGTTATCGCGAATAACCGAACTCACTTACGGGCTCATTATAGTCCGTGCTACATGGACATCTTGTTCTGAGTAGCTAAATAAAAAACAACAACAACAACCCAAAAGTGGCAAAGGGAAGAAGGGAACAATAATAGGCCTACCCTGACCAGCCTATTTCCGCCCTGTACCCGACATTATTTCCCTCGTAAATTTGGTTGAGGCTAGCCCTAGTAATCTGGACTACAACTTTGGGCAGACAGGCATTCTCTCTTAGGGTACAGATAAATTGGTTGACCTTACACCGAAGTACATAATCACACAATTTTTAATTTGTCGAGTTAATTATCCTAAGCAACATTTGCACTTGGTTCTTCAGATCACTGTGGATCGCAAGAGCAGGACTCTGGACACCATCTTCATCAGCATCGGGTCAGTGTTTGTGCTCATCAACAACATTAACATGGGCGCCCAGTTGGACCTGTTGGTCATCAGGGACGTATTTAGACGACCCATTGGCCCTGTGTGTGGTTTCATCTCCCAGTTCGCCGTTATGCCCCTAGTAAGTGTAGCTTCAACCCTTAAGACCAAATTTGTATTTCACTCTCACTCTTCAACCTTCCCTTCCATCTCCATCCGTCATTCTCACTTTTGTTGGTTCATTATGCTTTGTATGTTAATAAATCGAAGTGCAGTGCTTCAATGAAAATCATTTATATGACACACGCAACATTCAGAAGAAACAAATCGTGTACTTTACCCGTGCAGGCAACCTATACGATGGGGAGTGTGTTGTTTACGGACCCGCTGCAGCGTCTGGGACTCTTCACGCTAGGCTGCAGTCCCGGCGGCACCTCCTCCAACTTCTGGACCCTCATGTTCGACGGGGACATCAACCTCTCCATCACTATGACCGCCGTCTCCACCGTCTGTGCAATGGGTATATTATTTTAGCGCCTAATATATTGCCATGCTCTATAAACGAAACATGCTAGCATGTAAGTGGTTTATCAAAAGACGAGTTAGCCAGGTTATTTATAATTCATTGTGTCGGCGGACAGGCTGCCAACCCATACTGCCAGGAGCAACGCAACTGGTATGTACAAGACACCTTAATCCACTCGACCATCACGACCGGACAAAAAGAGGTGATAACCGAAGTTATTTGAACCACCCCTCCGCCGGCACTCGGATGGTAATCTTGGGCATAGTATTTTATCAAATCACCTCATTCTTTGGGGCACACGTGAGGAACACAAATGCGAACAAGCCTGAATGGTCCCCAGGACTATATGCAACTGAAAACTCACACCCCAGAAGTGACTCGAACCCATACTGCCAGGAGCAATGTAACTGGTCTGTACAAGACACCTTAATCCACTCGACCATCACGACCGGACAAAAAGAGGTGATAACCGGTCGTGATGGTCGAGTGGATATGCAGAAAAACCACATGTGAAAAATAGAAAAGGCTTAATGCGTTTTCGGCTAATTCGCCTTCATCAGAGCAAAATAGAATGAAGTAGATTTCCCTCCATGAAGTCAGTTCTAATGTGTACTTTAAAATTCCATGTATGGTGGGAAATTCTTAAGGAATTAAGACACGATGCAGTTTTACAACTCAGGTAAATATGCCAGTGCCATGTACCGCTAAGTATCCTCAAGGTCATTGAGTTTTGACACTTATGAGTTACGTATAATGAAAGAGGTTTTAGCATAGATTTCAATATTCAAAATTAATTTAGTTGTGCTATGACATTTACAGAAATTTAATTGTGATTGAGACTGACAATGCTTTTTATAAATACCTCGAAAAATGTTCGTTGATTATATATTATAAGTATTTGCAGACAAAACTAATTGAATGCCAAATATTATATTAAAATAAAAAATTGCCTTAAGTAAAAAACTAGTAACGTTTATGGGTCTAAAACCATCAGGTTAAGTAACCAATTTTCCCAATTTTCTTAATAGGGAAGACTACTGCATGTTTTCATTTGCCATGAACGTATCCTTCGCATCATATGTGATTTTAAACTAAGACTAAAACAAGTCATCTCACAGCATAACTCACACGAGCTTTGTGGTAATACATAGGGACGAGGTACATGCGAGCTCAAGAAGTTTATGTAAATCCTTACATGTTTAATGTGACTCTTGAGCTTAAATGTATTTGTTAATAAGAAAGAGGACGTGGTAGCTGTGCCTACAGGGAAATCCGTTGGTGCCTTGCTTTGTCGCAACGAATACTGGTTCAGTAACTCTGTTAATATGAGTATTGGAGCTATTGCTGAATTGTATTTACCGACAATTTTGCATAGATTTTTTTCTAAATTAATACGTATACTAACATTGACAGTGGAAACAATCTCCAATTCCCATGTTTAACTGTGCAAATTGCTCTGGGAGCTATTGCATTGGTACTTTTTTCACGATATATGATTCTGTAGTTCGCTTTATTTTTAATTGTTCCTGTCTCTGTTATAGTGAATAGCTCGAGCTTACTCATCATTCCGCTATGGAACACTTTTCTTAAAGCTTTAAACATTAACACGTAATTCGAGAAATTAGAGGGATAACTGCACTGAATATTGCTATGAAAGTTGTAATTAAGAGCCTAATAACTGTATTAGCTCGACAACATTTAATAACAGTAGCTCGTGGTTTCCGTAACTCCTATAGTCTGCCTCGTTATATCACTTGTGTGAGGTGAAGCAGAAAAATTGTAGAGTTTGCTGATTGGTGAATGGTGAGAAATTCACTGGGAAGGATTATTAAGCTGCAAACGAGGAGTCACAATAACGGGTCTGAAATATGTTGACGAAACCACATACTAGAAAGAGAAGGGACGACGACGTTTCGGTCCGTCCTGGACCATTCTCAAGTCGACTGTCGTCCCTTCACTTTCTAGTGTGTGGTTTGGTCAACATTATTAAACTATTGTTATGACAGTCGACAGCCTATTTTCCTCGATTTGCCACTCCGTAAAACTACTAAATTTTTTCCTAACTAGAAACGTACGAAGCCTTATGACCCAGTCAACCTATTTTATATTCGATGTGTTTGTTATCGTCAGGAAATTACAAATATCAAAGACTGCCTTACTGAAAGTCTGAAGGAGCGTGTAACCAGTGTGGAGGTGTAGGCGTTTCAGGGAAGACCAGCTGATGTATGGGTCACGCATGCGCAGTTAAACTCCGGCCAGACACTGGACATCTCACCCACTTGGGCTGGATGGTAAAGCGACGGTCTTGCTTCATGCAAGTCGGCGTTCAATCCCCGACCGTCCAAGTTGTTGGGCACCATTCCTTCCCCCCCCCCTAACCCCGTCCCATCCTAAATCCTTTTCCTGACCCCCTTCCCAGTGCTATATTGTCGCAATGGATTGGCGCTTTCCCTTGATAATTCCCTCCCTCCCTCACCTGAAATACTATAATGTTGTTAGTGTCTTAGCTGCTTTTAAGCGAGGAACTCAACCAAACCTTTAACAAAATTCTTGAAGATTACTCTAGTTGTATTTGCTCCATATTTTTACTTTTTTTATATGCAACAATAGGCTATTTTTTGTTTCGTTATTTTGTAAATGGTTAAATCAGTTCTAAAATATACTAGAATAAGTTTTATAGTATTCCACATCATAGTTCACTAGCCACCAGTTACCCGCGTTGGGCTAACAAGTTAGCATGTCGCATTTTGACGTATATTTTGCCTAAGGTCAAGAATTAACCTACGAGAAAATGGTAGCGGCTCGCAAAATTGATATAATGTCCCGTTTTCTGTTCGTGGGTCCTCTAGTGGGTTAAGGCATTTTAGTACAATAGTTTCCTGACGTTGGGAACGCCAGTAAAAACGGGCTGTTTTAATTCTAGAAACATATCATATATGTAGTACATGTCCTAACATGACAGAGTTCCGAGGTCTGTCAAATTTAAGACAGAGTTCCAAGGTCTGACAAACTTAAGACAGAGTTTCGAGGTCTGTCAAACTTAAGACAGAGTTCCGAGGTCTGTCAAACTTAAGACAGAGTTCCGAGGTCTGTCAAACTTAAGACAGAGTTCCGAGGTCTGTCAAACTTAAGACAGAGTTCCGAGGTCTGTCAAACTTAAGACAAAGTTCCGAGGTCTGTCAAACTTAAGACAGAGTTCCGAGGTCTGTCAAACTTAAGGCAGAGTTCCGAGATCTGTCAAACTTAAGACAAAGTTCCGAGGTCTGTCAAACTTAACACAAAATTCCGATGTCTGTCAAACATAAAAGATAAACCCAAGAGTACTTCAGATGATAACTTTAAAAAAAGGCTATCGTGATGTCTGATGATATAGTACACTGTTTCGTAACTGATAACAACACTCAATACAAGTGATGCTCATCATTATGTGAACGAGATAAAGGTTGTGGAGGTAAGTGGCATGTGTACCCAGTCAGTATTACTGGGAAGTGCAGGTTATAGCAAGTTTCAGAAATAAAGTGGATAGATGTTTGATTAATAAATGACGGGTGAAGGGGTTAAATGGGTCCCACCTCGTTTTGTTTTTCTTAGTTTAGTTCATTTATTATGTACCCATAATAGAATCCTGTGAGCGGTAGTGGAAGAGGTTCAGGAACTAAGCCCAAAGATTCGTTTAACTACACAAGTTACAGCGATGAGCACATCATTTGTTAACAAATATATTAAGAGTATCTTCATAGTTTATGAAACTATCTTCACCGTGTCCTCAGGAGACTCTGTTACAAAGTTACTCTGTCAACGATTCTTCGCGGCAGGGGATCGTATTCCAGGGACCGTAGGATTAAGGACTTGCCCGAAACGCTACGCGTACTAGTGGCTGTACAAGAATGTAACAACTCTTGTATATATCTCAAAAAAAAAAAAAAAAAAAAGTGAGTGTTTGTTAGTTGGGGCAATTAAAGCACACCCACACCACTTCAGTCAGCGGCAGTGGAAAGCTTGTAATCACCTGCCACCACTATCTACACTTGACAAACTGGAGATAATTGGCTTAAATCTACAGTTATCTTCCTCTTGAGGTTATCTTGAGATGATTTCGGGGCTTATCGTCCCCGCGGCCCGTTCCTCGACCAGGCCTCATTTTTGTTACCTCTAGGAAGCGACCCGTAGCAGCTGTCTAACTCCCAGGTATCTATTTACTGCTAGATGAACAGGTGCATCAGGGTGAAAGAAACTGCCCAATTGTTTCCGCCTCCGCCGGGGATCAAACCTGGAACCTTAGCACTACGAATCCCGAACGCTGTCCACTCAGCCGTCAGGCCCCATCAAGCCCCCGATCTACGGCAGTAGATAATTTTGAATTAAATGTATATTTCTTGCTCATTTGTATTTGTTATCTCAAAATTTATTTATTTATATGCATTATATCACACAGTGATGCAAGTGTGTGCAAACATTGTAAGTCAGATCTATATCAGCAGGTAATGCAAACTCCCAGATATACTTATATCTGAGTCGGAGCCGAGCAGTAGAAACATCTAGATATCTGTAGATTTTATTACATGATCTACAGATTTTTTGTTTTTTTGTTTGCAGGGATATTCCTGCGCGGGTCCTAAACCTCTGGCTGGCCCACTAACGTTACTTGTTTCTGTTTTGCTTAGGCGGAGTATGAATATTTATGACTCGTATGGTCGCTTCAGTAAGATTTTGTCCCATGTGTTTAACAACTTCTTCTGCTCTGTTGAATCTCGGTTATAATCCTAATGGGTTTGTAACTGAGCACTGTGTTAGATAATGTTCCAGTGGTCTGTCGGGCATTTCTCCACAGTGCTGACATTTCCTCTCATCTTCTGGAACCTGTAAGTCTATTTCCCCATGCACATGGGTATCCAAGCCTGATGCGATGTAGATGTACTTCTGTTGCTCTACTGCTCCCTTTCATCAAAATAAGTGGTTCGTAGTTGGTTGAATTCTTGTACCAACCCGCAGAT